TAATATCACTATGACTTAAATTGTGTTCTTCGGAGAATGACGCACCTTCTTCCTCCTCTTCACTGACGTGTTCTTCTTCCAACATCTCGTCGGCAGTCACTTCAGGATCTCTGATCACCTCCAGGATGTCGTCGTTGGTGGTCTCGGAGAAGCCTGGAACTGTAACAGTCTGCGCAGCTTCTCTGGCAAGGTCCACTGCTACTGCAACATTCTGAACCTCACCAGTCACAGATTGACTCCTCCTCTCACCTGGTATTCCATGCAACACATGTCTCCATGCGTGACGAATTGTAGCAATAGACAGCTGATCCCATGACTCCACCAAGAAGTCCACAGCTTTCTTGATGTTAAATACTCTCCAGAATTGTTTGAAGAGTATTTTTTGCTGTTCTAACTGTTGATCCTCATCTTCTTCGCTCTTGCTATCGGTGGTGGTGTCACTCAGGTTACGCAACTCTTCCCTGGTGTTGGTGTAGTCGTTCAGGAGCTGGAATTTTTTAGCAGAGAATGCAGCTTTTACATTACAGATCAATTCTTGGTCCATGGGCTGTATTATAGACGTAGTGTTGGGAGGAAGGAAGACCACTTTTACGTTGGGGTGACGATCTAACAGTAGGGGCGAGTGTCCTGGTGCGTTGTCCAGCAGCAACAAAATATTAAATGGCACATTCTGTCGCTCACAGAATTTTTTTACATCGGGAACAAAACAGTCATCAAACCAGGAGAGGGACAGTGTAGAGAACATCCACGCCTTACGTGCGGTCAGCCAGTGGACGTTTAGCTTGGTCATGTCCATTGTTTTGTAGGCGTGCGGCTTGCGTGCTGTGTGGATCACCGATAACTTGAGCTTACAGGTACCGGAGGCATTGGTGGTAAACAGGACGGTGATGCGTTCCTTCTGCATTTTCCGGCCCCGAATCCTGCTGGCATTCTTCACAACGAAGGACTTGGAAGGTAGCTTTTTCCAGAAAAGACCAGATTCGTCCATGTTAAACACCTGGTCGTCACTGTACTGTCCTTCCTCCATAATCTCACGTAAAAACGGAGGAAATTCCCGAGCCGCAGCACGATCAGCACTCGCTTCTTCACCACCAATGTTTATATTGGTGATCTTGTTCCGGATCTTAAACCTCTGTAACCACCCAGAGGAAGCATTAAAGGGTTTGGGCTCTGAAGTTCCCATCTTTCGTGCCACTGCCATGTACAGTTCACGTGCGTAGTCCTTAACAGAGCGCGTGTCGACCGCCATGTTCCGTCGCGCCTGACGCACCAAGTACCTCACAAGTAATTTTTCTGTCTTGAGAAGCACCTGGTTGTGAAAATACTTGATCATAGAAGCACCTGTAGACTTTGTGATCTTCATGTGCTCCTTTATCTTGGCTGAATCCTTCTTTATAGTCCGGATCGTAGATTCGTTCACGCCATGCTGGCGCGCCAAATCAACCTGCCTTGTTCCTTTCTCCAACTCTTGGATGATGCTATACTTCACCTCGTAGCTTAAGGAACGTCGTGTCTTCTTTGGTTTAGTGCCGCTGGGTCCAGGTAAGGAAAGGTTTCTCTCTGGGGGTGGTGGTCCGGCGGAAGCCATTTTACGGAACAATGGATGCGCGTTTACACGGAGTGGCCTTGAGGGATGAAACTGCCGCGGCTAGGTCAAGCGTCGTCTTTCCTCCCTCCCTCCCTCCCCCGGGTGGACACGTCATAATACTTTAAGCCAATTACAGCTAGCAGCAGAGGGGGGTAGGGATGCATGGCCAATCACAGGTCTGATACGTCATATGACGTCAGTGATAACGCAACAAAGACACACACTGCGCAACCTTACCGCGCCGCTTGCCCAAGCGGAGGGAGGAGGAGGGAGAGGCAGGCGGGCGGGTGGGGCGAATCTAAAAATAGCGTCGCGCCGGACACTCTCCGCGTAATGGGGTTCACGTACCGCGTAATGTGAGCACGTGAGGTTCTGGCAAGGCACCGTGGAAACGCGGAATGCGGGACCGCGTAAAGTGAGGGTTAACTGTACTGTAGACGGCATCTTTATCAATGTGCATCTTGGAATTGTGATCACAATACTGTACCACAAACAAATGTCAATGGAAACTAATCAAACTTGTTATATCACAAGATGTTACACGAGTTCAATGATCAATATATTGTGTTGTTACAGTCCCGAGTTATGGCCTCTTAGGCTCATCATAACACCTTTAGTGGCAATACTTGTACAGTACCTTCATTTACTATGACTCAATAAGATAGTTTGCCACTGCTTGAGATTAACTCCACACACTTTAGACATTAATTATTCTTTTGTTTCATCTACTGAGTTAAGAGACAGAGCACAACTTCTTCTATCTCACTGAAATAATATGAAATATACAGTACATGAACTGCTTCAGAGATGACACTGCATAAATGTACACATTACCTAACACCTCAAACTTGCCATATACCACGAGAGATGGTTTTCAGCCTCTGTATTATGTTGAATGGGAACATAGAGATATGTGGGGCTGCCACATGATTATCAAGTACAGCCGAGTTAGTCGTCTATATATTCAACCCGTATGATTTTAACACCTCATATGTACAGAATGAAAGGATGACTGGTCATATGGGACCCAGTCCTCATGGGTCCCTAGCTCACAGAACCATAGAAATAAGAGCCCAGTCTGTATGCTTACATTTGGTTAGGTTAGGTTGTACCTCACAGAACTGGGGCCCTTTTGACTTAACAAGCAACAACAACAACAACAAAAAATCCCACCAGAGAAGAAGTCACTTTTGGTGCACAATCCAGCATAAAAAGATAAAAATAAAATTAAAAATAAATACTGTATTGTTTGAAGCTTTAAACAGGTAAATAACGTTGAATAAATTACATTGACATACGAGTAAATTACACTTTTGTATAGTCTATTGCGATGCACAATGATTTGCACTTGGTCTGAGGGTTGAGAATGGTGACTGGTCATGTGGGCCCCAAACCTATTGGGCCCTAACCTACCCTAACCAAGAGGATTAATGTCTGAGAGTAAGTTCTAATGTCCCCCCACTGCTGAGGGATCACAATCCTAACAGGCCCTAATCCAAATGTTTAGGTTAGGTTGAAGCTCAGTAGTGCTTGGGTTGATTGGGACTGGCCTAAGTTGGCTTGTTACCATTAATTTTTGTTTAACCTGTGAAGATTAAACCACAAATATGTTTGTTTATTCTCTGTTCATGTCCATACTTCTAAGTTTTACTTTTAGTGCTAACAAATGGCAAGTGATTTACACACGATGGCCGAAGCACCAAAACAACGTACACAATGGTTTCAATAAATATCAAAGAACAATGCCACTTCAGTTTTTAGACACTTGAAGTAAATGGGTTGATGGTTAAAAATTACATTGTTGTGAGCTGACAGAGGCACTCAGAGCCATAAGTAGACAAGCAACAAAAGTAAACAATGCCAGAAAAATGCCATTAAAGTTGAGCAATTTTGAAGCAAGTACTGTACAGGCAATCCCCGGTTACGAACGACCGACTTACGAATGATATTAAACTTTAAATTTACAATATTTTATGTACCCAATGACTTATTTTTTACTTTCATTTACTGTATTTTGTCATTCTATTTCTTATACAGTACAGTGACCCCTCGTTTAACGAACACCTCGGTTAACGTAATTTCGATTAACGAACTGCCTTCCATAAGGATCTTCAATTCGGTTAACGAAAAAAAATTCAGTTAACGAAGTTCTTACGAACCTACCTCAACATGTTTTCGCTTGCACTGACCGGGCAACCAGCTTTAGTATCAGTCCGCCAATACATTAATCGGTTCTAGGGCTTAAATTCCTTACTATTTTAGTAAATATCAAGAAGTTTATACTATTCAATAATTTTAAAAGTTTAATATTCAATTTTTTTGTCATTTTAACAATTATTGAACATAATTGAAGGTAAAGTGACTAGTTTAATGCGCGGCATCCAGCCTCTTAACACAGCAAACAGGAGTTAGTCTCTCTCTGTTTTCACTGGAGGTAACATCTTGCTTGAGACTCTCTTCAACTAAATGCTTTTTTTCTGTGTTTTCAAGCAAATTATTGGTCATTTTGAAATATATTTTACATATTGACAATATATAATGCAGTGCAGTGTTGATTTAAAGAAAATAATCTTGAATTACACCAAGAGAGCTAAAATTTTATGGGTGAAATGGCGCCATGGGGTGACTTCTCTTCCACCCCAATGCTTTCTCTTCTTCCTTCTCCTCCACCCCCATTCTAAATCCCATCATCATCATCATCATCATCATCATCATCATCATCCAGGAGCCTTCTACATACACACCTCAAAGTAAGTGAACTTTTCTACCATTTTTGCTGAATTTAGGAAATTTTCGGTGAGCTGGAACCAATTACCCAAAAACCCATTGAAACAATGGTTTCGGTTAACGAACTTTTCGGTTAACGAACGACCTTCTGGAACGGATTGAGTTCGTTTACGGAGGGGTCACTGTATCTTAAATTAAGTGATTTTAGATTTATATTAGAGGCTATGATATAGTGGGATTTTAAACAGTGTTCTGTAAGTACTGTACAGTATGTACATAGTATGCATTTCGACTTGCATACATTTTCGACTGAAGAATGTCCCCAGGAACTGAACTCGTTCTTAACCTGGGGACTGCTTGTACTAATGATATAATAAACATCTGGAGCTGCTCTGATGCTTGTCACTCTCTGTGCCTCATATTTAATTCAAAGTAAATAAATGATAAGACATGTAACTAGACATGGCATTTTGTTACCTTTCAATAAAACATTTACAACATATATATACAGTACTTCTATCATTACTTATAATATCAAGCACTGAATTGTACTTATGAGACTTTACGAGTGTTTAAGAGGATTATTGAAGTTTATACATCAAGTGAAGCATAACTCCACCCTCTTCAAAATGAATTAATTTACAACAAAGCTTTTAATACACATTCAGATGTGTGTGTAGAAGATGGAAGGCATAATGAGATAGGTGGGTGGAAGGGAATAATGTACTGTGGAAGACTTGATGTAGAACAGAGGGAGGCAAGGGGGAGTAATTACAATGAAATACGTAAGATGGAAGTTTTAACAATGAAACATAAAATAAGACTGAAGGAGAAAGATGCTTCAGGTGTTTGTACAAATACAAAGTTAAGTCGTGTTTGTACAATTACCTTGAAGCTGGATGTCAACTAAAAAAGAGGGAAGAATATAAATTTACTTTTTTTTTTTAATTCATAGTACAATATATGTGAAATATACTGGAAAGATTGTACAGCTTACCTGCATAGGTTAGGGGTGTAGTACATGTTAACAAGCACAAATTACTGTCCTGTACCATATTTATACCATAATTAATAAGCAGGTGATATAACTGTCATCAGACCAGTGCTCTTTGTATAAATAAACTTTTCTTCAAAATAGTTTAGTCAGAATAAAAAGTATCTTGGCATCTCAACATTTCTACTGTTCAATATTTTACACATAACATTAATGTTTTTCACAGCCTTCCTCGTGCCACTCGTAACTTAGAAAAGGATTGAAGCACACAACACTATGCCATCAATACTGCCCATTCTATTATGGTTGTGTTTCAGAATATTTTTTACACAGGTACAGAAATTATTGTCCTCCCTGTAAAGGGAAAATAATAATGGATTAGTTAATGGTAACTGAAACAATACAAGTTTTGGTTTCTATTTGATCTCTACTGGACTGTACATCATCACAAGGAACTGAGATGAGATCCTGCTGCAAGACAGGCAGTTAGTTATGAATCAGTGTTACACAAAAAGTAATAGATCTTGAATGAAAGATATAAGACTAAATAGTAAAATATGAATATGTTGCAAGGAAGAAAATCATGAATATATTATAAAACAAGTCCATTTAGTCATGACTGAATAAATGTGTTAGGAGGAAGACAATTAACCAAATATGAATATACTTGTACTGTAAGCCAATTTGCCCTGAATGAATGTGTTAGAAGAGGTGAACAACAGAGCCTCACCTGACTAGTGGTGGCAACATAAACTAGTCCCTGAAGTGATGAAGCAGCAGATGCTTCTAGAGGTATTGAAATGGGTACTCCAACCATCTCCTGAGTCAGCTGAACCATACTCTCACCTGACCTCACCTACAAGAACAAGAAGTAAAACTTTTTATCAGTCTAGTGTGAGTCTGTTTCTGAGTACTGTATATGGTGAAAGCAACTAAGGACTGGTAAGACATACCCAGTACTGTATATCACACCATTCCTTCCACATTTATAACTTAACTCGGAAATTCAACAGAGTTTACATGCCAAGTGTACAGTGTTATGTAATTAGAGGCATTTTTACACTAATATTATAGCCAGAATACTTTCTGCCAAACTGAATCAACTGCAGATTTTCTTTTTTTTATCTGCCAAATCGGTGGTGCCTCGGGCATCTATGCATGAGATCCTTGTGTGCTTTAGCTGTATCCTGGGACAGTTGCAAAAGTTTCTGCTGCATTCTGGAAAAAAAAAGAGCCCAATCGTTTTATCAAGAACTATTACCAAGGGTCCCAAGAATATGTCTGATGAGGAAAGGATCACATCTTTGTCCAGTTGAGAGAAAAAGTTCCTTCAAGGGAAATTCAGAACGTGACACAGCAACAATTAAAACTGAAGCACACAGCACAAAATCTTCCTGCCAATTCTGTTCCATCTCGGAAATTGTCTCTTGGGAGGCCCAGCAAGACCTCCAAGGCCACTGATAGTCTTACGAGATGAGAAGTGATAAAGAATCCAATAGTGTGTGCAGTAGAAAAGAAACAAGCTCACCACAACCTCCTTCAAGATACGTCAGGTACAAATAACTCGATGCAAACTGTAAAAGGAGCTAAGTATACCATGTCATCATGCGCCCCACCCCCTTACCTGAGACAGCACAGAAGAGTCGACAGCTGCATAGATGTACTGGTCCCCGGCCATGATCACCTGACCAGGGACGGGGGTCTGTAAAGTGTAACAAATGTCTAAAATCCTTTCGCTTATTCCTCCATGAATCATCTTCCCTCCTTTCTCAGTCTCCGTACGAGGGAAATAACAAAATATCAACTGGGGGTAAGTGGTATAGTGGATGAAAAGTGACAGGGAAGGTCTGGAACAAGTAGAAATATTAATACAAACACTTTTTCCTCATGGCCTAAACTTGCTATACCTTACTAAAAATTTAAATGAGTTTAAACATAAATATACTGTAGAATAGAATTTTTCATCTCAAGAATAACAGCTTAGATTTAAGTATCCATCATGGTACCAATACAGAAATATTATTAAGAGCACAAGGTAGGCAGCCGAGAGAACCAACCTGCACGTGGACAGTGTTGAGAAAATTTGTGTCGTGTGGACTCTCCACTGTAAAAGTTCCACTATTAACATCAATATTAACCACGTGGGGGGCAGGTGGTGTCATGTCACTTAAGATGGTCTGAAGAAATGAAGAAAAAATGTGTTTATACGAACTTCCTGGTTAGTTGTACCAATATTTTCATCTTGAAAAACAGTAAACAAAAATAATTGTAAGTTAAAGAATTATTACTCATACATTATCTATACAGTATAAGGGACAATAAGATGTCTTTTCCTAGCACACAACCAAGATGTTTTCAATGGTTTGTTTAGATACACACCTGTGGTGATTCTATTTTGCCAACTTTGGTTGACAAAATTGCTTGACGTTGCTTCTTGCTCTCACCTCTGCTGTGCTCAGCCACGTGTGCCAAGTAATTGTCTCGTTTAACTGTCTTGAAGGAGCACATCCCACAGGTGAACATTATGCCATCTTGCTGGGCTGTTAAATATAATACTTATCTACAGATCTCAAATGAGTTTTTACCAACTGTAACATAAGTTTCTGCATCACTGTCACCTTGATCTTGGTCACTTCAAAAAGATGTTTTCATTTTCAAAAGCACCATAGTTACAAGATTCTTGTGAGACAGTCTGCCTTTAGTGCCCTATTATATCAAGAATCTTCAAAGAACTATTTAGTATAACTTGTATTCCAAATGAACTTAACAGCATATTGTATCCACTTAATAAGGCATCCACTGTCTTATGGTAACAATAGTGTTTTAGTAAAGATTAAAATATAGTAATTCTTACCTTCACCAGGATGCTTGTCCTTGAGATGAACCTTAAAAGTAGTTGACTGTATGGAGGCGTAGTCACAGTAGGGACACCGATAAGGTCTAACTCCAGTGTGTTGCATTTTGTGCCGCCGAAGAGAGTTGTGGTCGGAGGTGCGGTAATTGCACTTTTCACAAGCAAATGGCTTCTCACCTGAAATATTTACACAACCATTGGTCACAAATGTACAGAAATTATATTATTCAAAATCTTAAAACAGGGAGACTTAGGTATCTGAGCTGTAAGAATGATAACTATGAGAAGGTATAACTACTGTAGTTATGACAGGTGAGACAAAAGTGAAGAAAGAGTGGAAACTGGGAATTAAATAATATACATAATGAAACAACTGCCAGTTCTTGCCTGGCTGGGCATTGATAGTTTGAAATAACTTGCAAAAAAATCACAAAAGAATAAAAAAAATGCTCGTATGTTAGCTTCATTGACCTGTGTGTTGCCTCATGTGCATCTTGAGTGTAGACCTTGAGGCAGTGGAGTAGCCGCAGTAATTACAAAGGAATGGTTTCACTTTTTTGTGTACAGACTCTTGATGGTTCCGCAACATACGCTTGTCAGAGAACGGCCTTTGACAAATCTCACACTGATGTTGTGGAGCCTCTGACTTCTTCATGTGTAAGGACTGTGAAAAATAGTTTACAATAATCACACCTCCCAACTATAGTGACTACAGTACCTCTTTTTCAATAAACATTAATGCAACAGAGTAATTGTCTCAAGTTCAGTACAGTAGTACTATAATCACATGATGGGTCACATTTGTTCATAGTAAAAATAAACTATAACACCTACCTTATGATTGCGTAACTGTTTTGCCGTTTTAAAGCGCTTCCCACAAGTATCACACAGAGAAGGTCTCTCATCACTGTGGATTTTATGGTGAACGTTCATCAACTTGCTGTAACTGTTGGGAGGAAATGGTTGTCTCATCACCACAATGTACAGTAATGGAAAAAATAATCAACCTAGACCTATTGTATTTATATACTATACTGTCCACTTGTGAACACATACATTAGTACACACACACACACACATAAAATAGTCAATGGGTCAGTTGTTCTTTAAGACAACCCCTACCATAATATAGTACAGTACTGTACACTAAAATATCATATAAAAAAAAATCTAAATTTAAGCCACTTTACATACCTACTGTATCACTTTAATCATAAAAAAAAATGTTTTTAGACAATGTGCAGCTATTCAAATACTGTACTGTACTGTTATACAAAAGACATATTTACTAACCTATAGGACTTGTAATCACACTTGTCACATTTATGAAGCTCCATGTCAATGAGGTGTTGTCTCCAGAGGTGAAGTGCTAGGTCACGCCAGCTTTGAAACTTGGTAGAGGAACACTCTTGGCACTGCAGCATTGAATTTACGTGGCACTTTCGATGGTACACAATATTGTTCTCGCTCTTCATCCTTAGCCCGCAACCATTCACGTCACACCTGATGCCGAGCACTTCATCCGGCAGCGTCACCTTGGGATTCTTTTTCTTAAATTTTGTAATGCCAGTCGTCTTTGAATATAATGGACGGCCCGGTTTTTTATTATTGCTTGGCCTTGTGCTGCCGCTGTCAACGGTTATGCTACTATCATTCGTGTCTTCGTCGTCATAGTCGTGGTCACTTCCCGGTTCTGCGGTTTCTCCAAGTTCAATTGTTAGACGCAAGTCTTCCTCTTCCTCTTCTTTATCTATCACTCTTCTCTCAAACTCTCCAACATCTTTAGGCTCACTTTTGATAAATATACCAATCCTGCCAGTTGGCTGTTCTTCTTCCACCTTGACAATTCGATTTTTAAATTTCCCGGGTGCTGGATTATATATTTCCATTTTGTACTCTGGATCAGCCTTGTGTTTCTGACTCCCTTCCATAGTAGTAGTGACAGATGACTCAGGTTCATCACTTGCAGCAGCCTCCTCAAGATGAACTTTATCGTTCCTGGGGACCAAAACTTTGACCCGTTTTGCGGGAGACTTTTCTACCTCCTCCTCGGATTCATCTGTATCAGACAGATACTTGCTATGTCGTTCTTTCATGTGGTTCACCATTTCGCTCTTGTCCTGACTTAGAAAAGAACACAACCGGCACTTAAAACATGCCACTTGCTGTACTAATAGTTCATTTTTTCTAAACATTTCCTTTCTTTTCTCACTTTGGCACTGAGATGTCTTAGGCTGTGCTGGGACACTTTTCTTTACAGGAGCTACAGGTGCCTCTTGGGCAAGTGTTGGGGAGTGACTCAAGAGAATGGGAGAATTTTGAGATGGACAGGGTATTGAATTCAATCTTGTAACATCAACCTGTAAGGCTTTTGTTGTCTCTGTTGTCAATTTCTGGTCCTGAATTAGAACCCTGCTGGAGGTCTCAGAATCTGAGCGTAACTTAATGGGTTCACTGTCGGACTTGGTGGTTGCGGCCTTGAGAGCACTAGTAAATGTGAGATCTGATGAAGTAATTGACACAAGTTTCTTTGAGTTACCGCTAGTCTTCTCAGGTGAGTAGGTAAACGCTCCTGACCCAGTGCTGAGAGAAACTTCTGATTCTGAGAGACTACTCATGTCTATACACATATTAGAATTATCCAAGAACTGGTCCAGGTCAGCTGTTGTGGCCAAATTTGAGAGCAAAGCTGGTAGTGGACCCTGCCCCGATGAACAAGATTTTCCGCCAGACACTCCACTGACCATAAAATCCCCTGTAATATTTGGCAAACTGAAACTGGGCAACAGTGGTGACGGTAACCCCTGTAGTGGTGCAGTGTCTCCTCCAATGCCCGTACCCAGTCCACTAGGATTACTGTGAAGCTCTTCACCAGTCGTACCAGTGAGAGAGGCACCGAGGCTCAAATCGCTCTCATCACTACGGTGGAGTTCAGACAGGAGCACATCACCAGTGTGGGACAAACGGCTTTCTGAGAGACCTATAAGTGGTATCCCAGATCCTCCTACCCCTGCATCTGGATTTGGTCCACGGCTTAAAAGGTCAACTAACGTCTGATGTGAAATTCTTGACATATCTGAGGTAGAATATCTCACTCTGTTAGATCCATCCTGAGGTACTGATCCAGGTCTGGATAATACTGTTGAACCAAGAGCATTAGGTGAGGAACAACTGGAAGTAACTGAAGGAAGCATTGGGTCAATAGAAGTGATTAAGCCTGGTTTTGTGCTTAAGCTACTCGGAGATCTGGTTAAGGAGTCCATAACCACTCCACTTTTATTCATTCCATCTGGCACACCTAAAATATTAAATGATCTGGTGTTACTTACAATCTGATTGGTTGAGGATGCCATTTTTCTAAAACTTTTGTCAACTGATAATGCACCAACTGTATTATTATTAGTAGTAATATTATTGCCTGAAACATTGCATGTTGTTCCTGGTGACATATGAGTTGTGGGCAAAACTCTAAGAGTCTCAGCACTTAAACCCTCCAACTGCTGCTCCACCATATTTGCTGAACTCTGAGAACTCAACAGAACCGAATCTAGTTGCCTCTGAGGAATTATCTGACCATGTGATATTGAGTTTGGAAGTAACAATGTTGCACTGTTCAACTGAAAATTTGAAGGCAAGCCAAATATTCCATCAAGAGGTAAAGAGGTCAGAGCTTTTCCTAATGAATCGCCGTATCCACTAGAGCCACGTAGGGACCCGGTCACGGTACACATGCTCGCTGCAGAACTACGAGTTGATGTTGTGAGAGGACTTGAACCTCGACTGGTCGTGGCAAAAACCATCTCTGTGCCATCATCCATGTCCCCTAAACGTGAACCACTAGACATACGTACACTTGGGTTTGGGACAAGATGAGCAATCTCTGCAGCCTTAGTTACTTGGGACGGAATGTGTGGCTTAGCATCTAGCAGTTTGTTTAGCATACGGTTAGAAGCTATCAGAGGTGAAGTAGTACTCGTAGTGGTAGTGTTAGTTGTGGGCTTTTTGGAAAGTGAATTAACAATATCTTGGGACATGATATGCATATTATTAAGCTGAGAAGCTTCAAGGTGTGATGCACTTTGTGACGTAGATATCTGTGAGCTGGCCAACTGAGTGGTCACTTGAGTTGTGGGGTTTGACGATTCCTTTGGTGAAGTGACAAGGGGTGGAGAATGGTGTTCCGGACGTGCAGTAAAACCATCTTGTATGCGCATCACAGATATTCCGTCAACTTCAAGTGACGCGACCGAAGATACCAGGGGAATTGTAGCTTGTCCCAGATTATTTCTTGGTGGCATCAGAACTCTCTCTACTGTAAATGCATCAAGGGTTTGAGTCTGTGTGAGAGACTGTGGCAGTGTTTGTGAGAGCGTTGCATTTCCTTGCTGCAAGCCAATTGATGCACTCAGCTGTTCGGGTTGTGAGAAAGATGTAAGAGTATGCATTAGCTGTGCTTGAGAAGTGTTGGAAAGTGCCTCATTTATACTGACAGTGGAAGGATGTAGATCATGTAATGTAACCGATGGTGCAATGTGTTGGTGTCTCGTAGCAGGGACTTGCACTACCTCAAGCCCACCAGTGTTCTCCGTGGCTTGTTGTGATGTGCTGTCCATCTGTAAGGTAAAGTTCCAACATTAAAATTAATATAAATATACAGTACAGTCTAGAGTACTATATATGAGAGTGATTCAAGCAATTCTGTTCACAGAAATGCAAAGTTTGATGTTCTTGTCTTTGTACTGTAGCTCTGAATATTACAAACAAAAGTTTGGGAACAACATGAACCACACTCAAATAACATAAGGCAGATTGATCTAGAAGTCCTCATTTCTAGCTAAGCCAAATGTTCCTTATTATCATGCATGACTGATTCATCTTACCTTACCTCCCATGGCAGCTGGGAAGTGGTCTTATAATCACCCATCCCTCCCCATTACAACCATCACCCTAAATAGAGGGAGATTAGATGCAACAGTTGTCTACCAGAGGCAAGGAGTCTACTTAAAAGTCAAGTTACTACCTCATACCACCACTATGGACCACCATCTTTGATTTCAAGGTCAATCCAACATCTTTAGTACTTATGAGAATATACACTATACATATACAGTACTGTATATACCGGTATATATTTTGTTCAGTTCATAATACATATGAGCAACCCTCATACCTGTTGCTGCACACAATCCATGAATTCTTTCACCGTTATCATTTTCTCCTGGAAAAAGAAGGAGAGAGTTGGAGACTTCCGTTATTTCAGAGACAGCGCATAGATTAAGGATGAAGGAATCAGGAATGAATATCAGAAAAGAAGGTGCAAGGCCAAGAAACTGTGGATTGCAAGAAGATCAGACATCCCCAGCTTATTTCACTTGATTAAACACCCCAACACTACCTGTGGGGAGGGGTTAGGTTAGCATAAGGATGGTTAACCTAAGGTGATTAAGCTGGGGTGTCTGATCTTCACATTAATCCATAACAACTACAAAATACCTGTACTGTACAGACATGCAAAGGGATATTACCGTACACCTTGTTTATCCTACACTAATAAATGCCAGCGAGATGTTAGTGTAAATTCAACAGTTTAATACTGTAGTGTACTGTATTGTATTACAGAACTCAAACTGCACAGATATTTTAAGACAAGATGGTGTGTTGTATTCAGTTACAGTACAGTACTATACAAACTGAAAAATGAAAGATATTAGAGGGTACAGATAAGGAACCAAAGCAAAGTATTAGATCACCCAGTAGAGGATCAAATACAGTACTCAGGTAGAATGGACAAGTGAGGAGAAAGGTGGGGAAAGACTCACAAGAAGTGTCCCTGTACAGTACTTTATTTTAATGTGTTAATAGAAGGCACATATTACACAAAATTAGAGAGGAGTAAGTAACTTTGTGAGTGATTTTTTCTGAGTGCCAGTACAGTGCTTATCATGCACAAATTTACAAATGTGACTTACTATGTAACATTTTTGGGACCTTACTATCTATGTACATTTCTAAATACAGAGGCTTAGTATCACCTTAAAGTAAGCAAACCGAGAAAAAAAAATGGCAGCATCAAACATGTTCAGGTATCCCCCGATCTACGATATTCCACTTAAATGATGATGATGTATAAAGACCCCCTCCCTATTTATGATGTAAACAACCCAATTGAGCAATGGTCATCATCTGACCAATGCAGACTATTCTCTCGGTTCACTTGTCAGCTGCAGTCTACCCGAGTGCTATCACCCGGTGCACTACAGTTCCAAGCTTTGTTCCATGGTGATCACACATGGCTGTGATCGTGTAGCTCAATGATTATTGGTCAGTATCGGTGTCGTTAATTATCATTGGTGTTTTTTTTTTTTACCTTACAGTTGACAGGACATCAGTAACATTCACACTATACTCTGAATTTGTGACTGTGAAATGAGCAGTGTAACTTTGAAAATGTCTGGGAAGGCCAAGGCACCCAGAAAAACTGTCTCTCTGGAGGTGAAGCTTGACAATGTGAAGCCTTTCCAGACTCCCCAGAGGCTGTGTGGGAGTCAGAGTGACATCTCCACTCCACCTTCAAGAGTTCCTTTTTTAAGCCTCAAAAGGGACATGTAATGATGACTAGACTTATTCTTAATGATGTGGTGAGTTGTTTTATCGTGTTGTACGATTATTATTAATGTAGGATTTTTTGTCAGTGATACATATAAGTATCCGAATGGATGGGAACATATCCCAATGAACCCCTTGTTATAATGATCCCGATTTACGATATTTCAACCTGCGATGGATTTTCAGGAACTTAACTCCATTGTAAACAGGGGGATACCAGTACAGTAAATAATAAGGCAGAGTTAACAGTCAATACTAAAGGATGTCTAGTGCTTCCTTGATATTTGCTCTCAAAAGCAATTAATAAGCTGTACTAGACTACAATACTGGACATACTGTACATGTAATTCTAGTGTGCAGCTGGTCTAGCATACAAGACTTGCACAAATGAATACCTCATGACCCCAGTAAAAGAAAGCTTTGGAGATATACACAAACAGCATGAAGATTAGGCATCATAGCTTTCTTTACCTCATGATTAAACCTCCGAATGCTAACTTAATCCAAGTATCATTACGGTGTTTAATTATCAGGTAAAATAAGCTGGGGTGCCTAATCTCCAGGTGATCCCAGGCAGATAAGTACCTGTAGATAAATAGGGGTGTATATACTTCATTTATACAGTACAGTATACAATAGTCTCACCTGTGTGGCATCCACCAGGCCTGCCATGGTATTTATCACTGAAGACTGTGACAGTGTTGGTAACGGAGTCTGTAGAGGTATTTGTGATAATGGCGACTGGACCTGGATATGAGGCTGGGTGTGAGAGAGTGACTGCACTTGAACTTGTGACTGTGAATGCAATTGAGGTTGTAACTGTAGTTGAGACTGTGCATTCACTTGGGAATGTGTGTGGTGTACCTGTGACTGTGTGTGGTGTACCTGTGCATGGTGTACCTGTGCCTGTGTGTGGTGTACCTGTGCCTGTGTGTAGTGTGCCTGTGTGTGGTGTGCCTGTGTGTGGTGTACCTGTGCCTGTGTGTGGTGTACCTGTGCCTGAGCATGGACTTGTGACTGTGTGTGTATCTGTGATTGTGTGAGCACCTGGGGATGAGCGTACACTAAAGACTGTGCAAGTGTTCGAGGCGTCCCTTGCACTAAAGAGTTTGACTGTATTTGTGACTGAGTGGCTGACTGAGTCTCCTCTTGTGACAGTGGAAGTAAATGAGGAAGGGAATGAGACTGAGCCTGCATGTGTGTTTGTGACTGTGTGTGGACTTGAGACTGTACTTCGGGTTCTGCTTGTGTGTGCATGAGTGACTCTGTATGCAGTATAGCCGACTGCATGAGAGTAACGCCAGTCTGTGAACGGACAACAACAGGGGGGACGCGGGCAAGGTTGGATTGAGTGGATGTGTGTATGAGGTTCGCAGTAGAGGGATGGACCGTTTCCACTTCACTTCCACGTACTTTGTACACCCTGCGACCACTGTCATCACTCATCTGAAATAAATTTTCTATTTAATTTTAAAATATTTCAAACAGACTTGGTGTATATACTTTTATGTTTTTTTATTGATACTGTTCTTCATTTACATATTTTTTTTTATCTAAAAAAATTACATTATCATTTTAAAAGGTTCATGTGAAAATCAGGCACCCTAACTTATTTCACTTTACAATCACCATGTTAATGCTAACTATACCTAACCTTCCCAGGTAAAAGTATTTAATTACCAGGTAAAATAAGATAGGATGCCTTATCTTCAGGTGATTCCCTTATAATAAAATGTACAGTACATGTGAAGTAAATATTAATAATATTCAATTTGTATTTGTAATGAAAAAACAGTTTCCACAGCAATGTTGTGTATAACAACAGATAATGCAGTTATATGTAGTTCAGTATATAATAATTAATTTTATTAAATGATATACATGTATAAAAACCAACAACACAGTAATGCAGTTTTACCATTAAATTTTATATAATGTAAACCTGTATAGATGTAATATTTCAACAACTTCAAAACACATTACAGTATATGCATTGGCACTACTATATATAAATTGTATTGTACTATTGTGTATGTGTGTATTGTACTATTGTGTATGTGTGTACATTGTTAAAAATATGGATATCACTTTAGTTCCCGTTAAAGTTATCAAAATAATTTTCGCAGCAATATAAACATGTGAAGTTTTGCTTAAAGGAAGTGGAGTGGTAACAGTGTGTGGTGAACATGTAACTACAGTATCTTGTTAGTGAAATGTTAACTCGCTAGTTTATCAAACAAAATCTTTAACTGTTCTTAACTAAATGCAGATTTTTAATACAAGGTTTTCCGTATTACAATATCACCTGGCCTGGGGCATTTCCGTCCAGTTACTATACTGGAAAAAAAATAAAAACGTACTTCACTTATACTGTGAACTCGCCAACATTTTATGCTGAGAATATTTACTGTACATGACCCATTATACAATTTATTAAAACTTAAAAATAAAAGGGAATGTTACAGCAGGAAATTCAAGAGCAAAAATAGTTGCATTGTTTGACTATTTTAAAGAGCTTTAAGTAATTACTACAAGAATACATCATCACCCAACATCTTGGTGGTACATATTTTATTACAAAAACCACCAAGTGTGAGGGTTATAGTTTAGTTAATTTTACAATGTCGTGAAAATAAATATTCAGCCTTGCCTAAATATTATCTTATTATCTGTATGACAGACTAGATAAGGTTATAATGAACTAGGTTGGGTCGGACTAGATAAGGTTCAGAACTTGAGAGGTAGGTTGGGTCAGGCTGACGAAAACTGGGGTATTCAGCGAAAATTTTGTGCAACCGTACTGTACAATGGTTGTCTGCATGATACACAACTGGTCTAGTCATGCACATCATATATGTACGTCTCCCCGACCTCGTGTCAAGAGGTGGGTGCCCAACAGGCCACGAGATCCTGCCAGGCCGACGTCTAATCCTTGAATGAATTTGGCCTGTAAATTCGTATGGTTCTCTAGCCTCGCCCAGACTCCATCTTGACTTTTCCAATGTTGCCAAGTCTCCCAGCTACACTTCTAACTATTAGCTTGTTATCGCCTCCCCAAAGTACTAATTACCATTTTTAAAACATACTATCACATATCAAAAAGAAATCTATCACTTAATTGTGATGCTAAAACATATAAGTGTATAATAAAGATGAAGTCTTGGTATAAGAGACATTTACTATCAAGCTCGCCAGCCTCTCCCGGCCCTTCTATTATGGCGATGGGAAGACTACTGAACGAGGCTAGCAGCTCCTCTAAAACACCTGTTACACGCCACAACCAGACTTCCATCTTGCCCATGACGCACCTTCTTACCTTGATAATAAATCGTGTGTGTGAAAATAATAGATCCTCGTACGAGCTTCAACGTAAAAATAACTTTTCACACTTGCCGTAACTCGGCGTCAACACCGTCGGCCATTACTGAGAGTGAGACGGTGCAAGGCGCGGACATTTGGCTCTCTCATTGGTCGGCTCCCCTTATACCTCCCCAAGGCGCACAATTCAAATGGACAGAAAAAAATTCTCATAAAATCGTCAAATAGTTTCACGTTGGTTCAGCATGTACATAGGCAATACGTGTGAATAAAGTACATAAACAGTGCAGGATCCCGTCAGTGTTGCTGATAGTCTTGTCTAGGGCTATTTTGAAGCCCAGTACTGACAGACTGCCCCATAGGTCTATCAATCTCTTGTGAAAAAGTATTTCCTTGTGGTCATCCAGAACTTGTGACCCATCGTGTCAGTGGTGCGTGACATCAGGTAAATGTGGTTTGGGTTTATGTTTTCCATCCCTTTCAAGATTTTGAATGTCTCTGAGATCTTTCCTATTGTTTCTTGTTTGAAGAGTAAGGCCCACAGTCTCTATGAGTAATTGAGATATAATTTAGGATCATCTTAGTCATTGTGTACTGCGTTGCATTTTCTCTAGGGATGTTCAGTATGGAATTGTGACCGACCGCCCAAGCTAGACAGTCATGGATGTTACTGAAAAGATGCACAAAATAGTCAGTCGCGGAGAACGCTAAAACTATAAAAATTGAATAGTCGAGTAAAAAAAAAACTAAAAGAATATGATAAAAAAACCTACAAATTAGTCAGTCGCGAACAACGCTAAAAGATATGTCGCGGGCGTCACTGAAGGAAAATACAATATTATTAAATTTTCCCATATACAAACATTTTCTTGCTTTATCCTAAGAAAATTTGTATAGGAATTAATTTAAAGCTTCAGATAAGAATTGTTGTTAATGCAGCTTTACCTAAAAACTTTTTTGTCGGGGGGGGGGGGTATTTTTTTAAATTAAGTAAAAGTTAAGAATAGTAATATACTTTCTTAGTCGTTTATGAAATTTCCATTGTAGAAAGTAGTTGGAAAAAGCATACAAAACTAGACATATCTAGTTGCAGTATACATACATTGCATACATATATTAATTATTAATATTGAAAATCGACAATTTTCTGTTAAGATTCTGTGAGGTACAACCACAGAAATTTATACAGTATTGAGATTTAAATAGGGAAATGAAGCAAAATATAAATAACAAAATATTATACAGCATTTTCGTCGTAAAATTATATTTTCAGTCGATCAACGGTTCTGTGTTCACGCGGGAGTGCTGACGCCGAAGAAGGTACTTTTGAGCTGCTCTTCCGAAAACCACTCATGTTTCTTTTTTTAATAACGCTGCTGTATTGCATTTTCAAGGCCTATGGTGTTCTGTAAGCTTACGTCAAGTGTCCAGGGTGAGGTGCAGACTGCCATTATTGTCGAGATAAACAAGAAAAGACACAAAATCGCAGACATAGGTAAGGTGAAGTTATGTTTGGCAAAGGTAGGGCAGATTTGTGGTCAGGATTAGTTAGGTTTGGTTTGTCTCTTTTGTATGTCTTACCCCACATTTTATCTCTAATTCGAAGCCCTGTCTACTTTGTGCGATCAATATTTTACTTTCACAAGTGAAATCGAAAATTTAAAATTATTTGAAAAAATATATATTTACGACGAAAACGCTAGTGATAAGTAATATTATTTTTTGGTTCAATCTCCCTCTATATAAATTAGCGTAAAGTTCGGTGTTTGTACTAGACCAGGGGTTCTCAACCAGGGGGGAATTCAGGTTTTCAGGGGGGGGGGGGAAACTGATTCGGGAGCAAGAGATATGTTCGATGAGAAATCAATCACAGAATTTTGGCCCTTGATGTGCGATTCCTACCCAAAAGTGGCAGAAAGAGCTATCCGTGCATTGCTTCCGTTTGTGTCGACATATCTTTGTGAGTCAGGCTTTTCAACTCTGTTGCAAATTAAAACGAAGCAACGTAGTAGATTAGAGGTAGAAAATGACCTGCGTTGTGCCCTTTCAAGCACTCCTCCGCGTATCCCAGAATTGGCGAAGAAAAAACAATCACAGGTTTCTCATTGACTGTAATCTTCATCTGAATAAAATTAATTACAAATTTACAATATCCTGGTATTCTATTGAACTTTTTGTTTATTGCATTATGCTTCAGTTTGGTCTGTTAAGTAATTCATTATAAATAAAAAAAAAAACTATTTTACTTTTATTCAAGGTTTATAAATCCATCAACATTTTCAATTGGCATTTAATTTGTAAAACTCCACTATATAAATAATCCATGTAAAATTGTAAATGTATATGTACTAATATGGAAAAAATAAAGGATTTTCAGTATTATATGCATATTATTTGGAATGCACTTTTTGAGGCAGACAATCTTGGAAAGGAGGAGGGAATGACATTCTGACATATGGTGAAAGGGGTGCATGGGGCAAACAAGGTTGAGAACCACTGTACTAGACAGAATCTTTGGTAAGTATTGACAACATACTGTACTCGTCGCCAGTTTTTCAAAGAAAATTAATTTAAAAACCCCATTTTTACAAATTTGTCCAAACTACGAGTGTCCACTGCAAAACTAAGTGAAATTGCTGCGCTTTTAAATATATTTTCTATGCAAAAATCGGCGACGGGTATGTCGTCAATAATTACCTAAATTTACATATAATCGGCAGTACAGTAGTATATAGAGAAAATAACCGCTCAAGGGGCCTTCATGGCTTACGTATGTCAAGTAGCAACATTTACTTGTCAGTGCACCCCTCTATGGCAATAGTGTTGACGCGGAGTAGATGGCACTATTACACACTACAGGAAGAGAAGTGCCGGACATTCTTTTAAGACTTGCCGACAGGTTTGTGTATTCTTGCCTGATGCAACTCGAGATAACATTGTGTGTGAATCGGGGTCCACGTCGACGGTAGGAAGGGAAGATGATGGCCTCCTTATATCTAAGATAGGTTGTGGGAAGAACGGCTGAACGTATTATTTTTCTATATAGCAGAGGAGGGGGGGGGGGTGTAGGTCCAGCATCGGGGAATAAAAGGGTGTAGGTCTAGCTTCAGGGGAACAAGACCACAGAGAGTCTTAGCTCTAGTCAACAGAATCATCATGGTGGTACAGAGGTAACGCGTGTGTTCCCATTTACCTCGTTTCCAACCCCGCCGGGCACATATGTAAGAAGTGTTTGTTATCCAGTGTGACCCTAAATATGGTAGGTTTTCTCCGGGTACTTTGGTTTCCTTCTGTCATAACACTGTAGAATAACAAAGAACAGATCTGCCCGAACGACTAGTGTAAATTATATATTAAGATTAAACCTGATGCTCGTATGCCTGTTCTACTGTAGATATCACGTGTTCTGGATGAAATAAAATGTTTAATTTTTTTTTATTAATCTCACCATTATTTTCACGGCGTGTTGGCTGCAGCCGGTTAAGTTGTATCTTCCCTCAAGGTTAACAAGTTCACTTGTACCGAGAAAAAAAATTATAAACATCTGAAAAGTAATCATGTTTGTAATTTTTTTCCTGCTATCATCAATTTAATTTGATTTATTTTATTGCGTATTTTCAGATTATATTTCACCAATAAGGAGGAAAAAAATTTGGAGGAGATTGTTTAGTTAGTTGTGGGTGCTGACAATTGGCGCTTTACTGTAGATAGAGCTCTTGTTTGTAAAGAAAGTTGCCATTTGTTTCAATATTAATACCGGTATTATTAATTCAATTACAATTCCGACAAATATATCTTCCTCACCTTGCAGAAATCATAGTGCTTTATTTACACTAAAGATTAATATGTCGGTATTGTTGCCAGTCGCCTTTATCCTGTATTGTTGGTTCACTTGTTTGTCTACGGTCGCGTTCATCAATAATGATTGTTCAGTAATATATAGCCTACGTTTTCTGATTTAATGAACGAAACCCTTGTTGGTATAGGATAGTAATGCGATGCCTCTATGGTGATAATAATTGTAGTTTTATTAATATATTAGATTTTATACGGCCGAAGGAATATAAATATTTTTACAAGACCTTGAAACGAGGTGTAGATTGTGAAGCACTTCTAAATGCGCAGTTAACCAACCATGGCACAGTGCAGTTGGCAACTATCCAAACACACACACAAATAAATACAAGCCACGTACTAAATGCTTTCCAAAAGACAGACCGAGACATCTCTTAGGGGAGGAAAGTCCATCTATAATGACCACAGCGACAGGCGGTCACTTATGTAAAGGTAGATTATAACGTCATGCAGTGTTTTAAATTTGAGTTCACTTGAAGCAAGACTGTTTTTCTTCTCTACTTCTTGATATCTAATATATTTTATTCACATTTATATATCCTCCCTTGGATATACTTGTGATGATATTAAAAGTTCTTTCTAAAAAACGATAAAAGAATTAACATAATATACGTACAGTATATACATGAAAGTTCACTGGATTTCTTCGGGTATTCTTATTCTCGAGAACCCCGCCCTCTCAACAGCCAATTAAAGTCGACAATTTTGCCTCACCCGCGTCCTCAGCCAATCACATTTCTTGGTTGCCTTACCTCTCACTCCACCAATTACGTCGCGAGATAGCACACCTTGTAGCCAATAGGAACGCAGATGCATCAGTAGTCAGCTGGGGTACTAATATTTATGGTTATCATATGTTTCACAACAATGCTATTTCATCCATCAGATTAGTAAGAACTGAATGGCAAAGTTAGATAACCCGAGTAGATATGAATATAAATGACTAGTTTATAAAATAAATATAAGGGAGAAGCTATTTTTGTGGACGTGTCTTGGGTCAGTGAACGAAAACATTGGCGTCTTCCATCTTATTCTCCCATATACTGACGTTCATCATGACGTGCCACCAATCTTGGCTCACCACCAGGCCAAGGATCCTCACCACTATCGATATCAAAACACAGTGAGTACGCGGGTTCTTGTAAAATTGCACGTGTTTTCCGAAGCAGGCATCTGAAAACATTTGGAAAAGCGAAATAAGAGTGTAATTGCTCTCGTGTTGATGAAGTGTTGAGTATTGCCAATTCGAACACTGTGACTAGTTGGCAGTTACAAGCCGTTATTATAATTAGACGTACACTACAGTACGAGGATAGTGCCAATACTTGTTGCATCATGATAGATTTAGACAACTACGTGATGATATGCAATTACTCAGGCCTCTCGGGGACCCCGAGTATAAGAATATACTTGCGTAACATTAAATTAGTAAGACCAAAAATAAGAAAACACATCTGAATAATTAGAACGTTAGTGTAATTTTCTACGCAGTTTCGTGAAAATTGTTAACGTAATAAATCATCTATCTAATTGTTAATACAAGTATCATAATGTATTTTGTGTATATTTGAAGTTGCATTATGTATTTTTTTATATATTATGATTATATTTTTTAGACTGCAGTTAGATGACACTGTATGCTATGTATTTTGTATTTAGATTATTTTATATAATAGCCATGTGTTGTACAGTATATAGTTTCATTATTTGTATTAATTTAGACTACATACATAATAGTGAATGTTTAGGGAATGAATTACTTTATTTACGAGTTGAAGGACCTTTAGTTGTTGATGTCCAGAAATGCAATATAGATACTGTAGAAATGTAGATAGATTTATATCATATAACGAGCATACTAAAGCATTGTTTTGAATTGTTTGAGCGTATGTCTGTCGTGAAAGATATAGTGAACAGTGGTAGTTGAGGTTTGTGAAATGAAATATATACAGTATAATATAGGGGACGTGTTGAAGCCTTAACTCTGTACCATATACCGGAAGTTAGTGTGAAATTTGAGTAGTAAAACTGTAACTTGAGATGAATTTGGCGGGATTAATCAGGATAGTGGCAAGGGTTTCTTAGCTGAATAAAATAACTAAGTACATTACTTCTCAAAATGCTTAAAATTACATTGATATATATATATATATATATATATATATATATATATATATATATATATATATATATATATATATATATATATATATATATAAACACGAAGTTCCCAAGCGCTTTCGTGTAATTTACTTAAGGGAAAATTATGCTTTCTGTGTGTGTGTGTGTGTGTGTTGCGGGTCAGGGACGACACCTACGCACAGCCTACCAGTTTCACTTACTGCACACTCGTACAAGTCATAATTTTCCCCTTAACTGCGATTTCAATAAAATATCACGCTTACAGTAGTCACATGATGACTGACCACATATTGGTTCTTATTTGTGCCGTTATATAAACAATTGTCAATGAATAATAAATGCATATTTGGTTAACTAGTACAGCTGGACGACCATCGGCCATTCAGGCGTCGCAATTTATCGAACGGGATTCTTTAAACTTCGTACGTAAGATTTCTCCTCTTACGGTATATCTATCTGTTCCACTCAAGATACGACAAAGGTCACGTACACAGTGGCGTTATAGCACCCACACTCTGCTATTTAAAAATTCACACCGTTATTATTCGTTGAGGATAATAAACGTACGAATCTTTACGACTACGAATTCTGGACAAGTTAATCATGTAGACAAGCTCACCAGAGACTGGTTTACCACAACACTACAGTCATCCAAGTGGCGCTGGACAGTTAGGTCGCTTGGCCCCAGGAACAGATTACAGTACTTGGAATTTAAAAGGTAATGTACGTTTATTATTTCTCCCCTAAGTTAGGACGAATAAATAGTTGCATCTTAATGCATTTCTGTGTCATGTTGGTATATGTCTTGGTGTCAGTTGAACTAGAAGTGTCGAAATGTTGACACATTCCATCATTACTTTTATCCTCTTCGCCACTGATCGGCTTGTTAGCCGCTTGGGCGATCGGTCACGTTCCTGATTACTTTAACTTTTCGTTTATCTTCTTCACCAAAGATTGTATCGTAGCTAAAGTGAATCATAAGAACATAAGAATGGAGGAAACTGCAGCGGGCCTATTGGCCCATACTGGGCAGTCTCGTTTACACCCAACCCCTATTGCTCATATAAGCATCCAACCTATGTTTGAAGCTATTAAGCGTATTCGAGTTAATGATGATATTTGGTAACTTGTTCCATTCATCCACTACTCTGTTTCCAAACCAGTGTTTACCTATTTCACGCCTAAATCTAAATTTGTCTAATTTAAAACCATTGCTACGAATTTGCTCCTGGTTGGATAGTTTGAGTACCTTTGTAATGTCCCCTTTGTTTAGCCCTGACTTCCACTTATACACCTCTATCAGGTCGCACCTCGCTCTACGTCTCTCGAGGGAGTGCAAATTAAGATGCTTTAACCTGTCTCTATACTCAAGGTTCCTAATGCCCGGGATTAGTCTTGTCATTCTCCTCTGAATTCTTTCTAATGATTCTATATCCATTCTGTAATACGGTGACCAGAACTGAACTGCGTAATCCAGGTGTGTCCAGGTGTGGTCTCACAAGCGCAAGATACAGTTTTAGGATGACCTCGCTAGTCTTGTAACTAACACTCCTTTTTATGAACCCAAGTACTTTATTAGCCTTGTTACGAACAAAAACACATTGTTTACTTGGCTTACGGTTCCTACTTATTATTACTCCTAAATCTCTCTCTCAGTCGGATTTCTCTATGGCATCGTTGTTCATCCGGTATCTGGTTTCCCTGTTTACATCTCCTATACTGAGTACTTTACATTTGTCCACGTTGAATTTCATCTGCCATTTTTCAGACCATTCGAAAAATTTGTTTAGATCTTCCTGTAGTTTTGCCGAGCCCTCGTCAGATTTAATAACACGTCCTATTTTAGTGTCATCAGCAAATTTACTTATGTTGCTGTCTATGCCGATATCTATGTCGTTTATGTATATAATAAATAATAATGGTCCAAGTACTGAGCCTTGGGGAACTCCACTTGTGACGTTGCTCCAATGGGACTTAGTGCCGTTAATGCTCACTCTCTGTTTCCTGTCCAGTAACCACGCCCTAATCCATTTAAGGATGTTACCTTTGATGCCATGTGTTTCTACCTTTCTAATTAGTCTTTCGTGGGGGACTCTGTCGAAGGCTTTGCTAAAGTCGAGATATACCACATCATAATTGTGCCCCTCTTCCACCGATTCGAAAACTGATGAAAAGAATATTAATAGATTAGTTAGACAAGAACGTCCGCTTGTAAAGCCATGCTGGGAATCATTGATCAATCAGTGCTTCTCCAGGTGATTTCGAATAGAGTTTGAAATGATTGCTTCCAGTAATTTGCCTACTATTGATGTTAGACTGATTGGGCGGTAGTTAGAAGATAGTGATCTATCCCCCTTCTTGAAAATGGGTATTACATTCGCTATCCTCCAGGATTCTGGTACTACACCTGTTTTTAAGGACATGTTGAACAACTTTGCTAAGGGCATACTAAGCTCTTCCTTACATTCCTTTAATACTCTGGCAAATATCTCATCGGGACCACGTGACTTATTAGGCTTTAGTTTGTCTATTTGCTTACTAACATCGTTACTAGTCACTACTATCTCGCTTAATTTGTTTTCTTCACTATCTCTGAATAGAGTCGGTGCCTCGGTTATCATGTTTAAATTTTCTGTGGTGAAAACTGTTGAAAAATATTTATTCAAATTATTGCTCATTTCTCCGTCGTTATCAGTGAGCTCGCTGGTATCTGACCGTATTGGTCCAATCTTTTCTCGTGTTTTAGTTTGATACATTTGGTAGAATCCTTTGGGGTTTGTCTTCGCCTCCCTTGCTATCCTTACCTCATTATTCCTCTTGGTTTTCCTTATCTCGGTTTTAACCCTACTCGCCAATATCTTCTAATAATCGTGGAGGTAAATTTTGCCACGCTTTATCCTTCTACCTATAGCCTTCCTTTGGCCAATGATGTTCTTTAAATAATTAGTTATCCATTTAGGGTCATTGTTGTCTGATCTGAGTTTTTTGTATTGTATGTTCTGCCTTGCGCATTAAGTAACTCGTTAGTTAAATTGTCGTGGAACTCGGCAATCTCAGATCTCGTTATCAGGTCGGAGTCATCTGTCAGGTTCACGGCCAAGCGCGACACCCCCTCACTCGGCTGCCTCTTTAAACTGTCAAAGTTTGCCCTTCTGAAATCTGGTACTTTAGTGGAATTTTCCTTAAGTCTGCCCTGAAAATCTAACTGGAATCTAATTTCTTTGTGATCGCTGTTTGCAAGTTCGTTCCCTACCTCGACATTGCTAATGAGGTTTTCTCTGTTCGACAGAAATAAATCGAGTATATTATTACCCCGTGTGGGTTCGGTTATATGTTGACTTAGGAAACAGTCCTGGATCGTCTCGAGAAAATCCTCTGATTCTGAGTTACCCGTAAGGTCAGTCCAATCTATTTGGCCAAAGTTAAAGTCGCCTACTATACAGACTTTGTTGTGTATGGAAGCCCTGCGCATTTCATCCCAGATAAGTCGCTCATTGACTCTTATCAAGATTGGGAGGTCTATATATTACTCCTGTGATTAATTTTTCCCGACTCTATTAATTCTATCCAAATTGTTTCTGTATTCTGCTCAGTTTTTATTTCCTTATTTATTTCACACTTCAGATTATCCCTAACATAGATTGCTACTCCGCCTCCTTTCCTGGTCTGCCTATCGGTATGGAACAATTTGTAACCCGCAATTTGGTATTCGACCGGCAACTCACGTGAGTCTAGGTTGATCCATGTTTCAGTGAATGCTATTATATCGATTTTTTTTCGGTATATACCAAGGCCCTAATATCATCCATTTTGTTTCTCATACTTCTACTGTTTGCATAGTAGACATTTAAGTTAGTCGTGTTCTGAGTCCTCCCTTTACCGCGTTTAGTTTTAAACTCCCTGTTTAATTTAGTTTTGTCATCATTCCTAACACTATTTCCCTGTAATCTTTTGCTCTGTTTACCCGCTCCCACTGCAGTTTCCCCCACCCCCGTGCCCATATGTTCCCCTAGCAGTTTAAAGACTTCGATATCCTTTGAACTGCCCCCTCTAGAGACCCAGCCATTTTGCCACCCCATCCCTAGCATAAAGGTCCCTTCTGCCATAGAAGTTGTCCCAGTTGTCAATGAATGGGACCGATATTGACTTGCAATATCTGTCAAGAAGGTCGTTGACACCAACCACCCTTGACAACCATTCACTGCCAACTCTCCTTCTAGGCAGGACACCGCATATGATAGGGATCCCTCCCTCAGACCTAATACGATCTATAGCTGCCTTGAACTTATCAAGAAGCTCCTCGCTCCTACACCGGCCAATATCATTGCCTCCTGCACTGAGGCAGATAATGGGTTTGTTCCCATTACCAGACAAGATATTGTCCATCCTGTCAATTATATCCCCCACACCAGCTCCTGGCAAACACACCCTCATCCTATTTTTGTTTTTGTTGAATGTATTACCAATTTGGGGGAAGATTTAACCTACGAACCTATGAGAATTCATATTTTTGTCCTCAGCTTTTAAATGGTTATATAATTAAAATTTGGGTATTCTCTTTGATGACCAGTGAAGGGAAAATTGGCGTACGAACCTTTGAGAATCTAAATTTGTGCCAGTTCGTGGGAAAATTTGACGTATGAACCTTTGGGAATACAGGACTTGTACTCCTTCAAACAACTTAGTGAAGCTTGTTTGTTAGATTTAATCGTAATTGCGTGATAATAAGGACTTACTGCTCCCGTAAGTGGAACTGTTTTAATTAGCGGTAACATTCAAGGACAGCATGTTATTTCTTGGGACATAATAGTAGAGATAAACAGTGACTTCCATGAATTTAGTTCTTGGTTCGTATGTCACTTTATTTTCATTACCATAAAAAAAATATAAATTGTAAGGTGACATGACCCAGGTCCTCTCCGCTCACACACCTGCCTTTCTCACGGGCGTCTTTCGTCCTCACTAGTTAAAGCATGAACGAGTTAGTCATCAGGAATTATCTCTTTAAATATATTTGTTGGTGCAGTGTAATTGCTAGCCTATTTATGAGCTTCAAGACTATAGCTGTTGAAGCACAGTTATACATTTTAGCATTACCATCAGGATTATTCGTATTTTTTATTGACTTTCTGGATCTATTAAGACATTTTTCTTACCACTTGAATATTAAAATAACCGAAAAAAAAATTTGTCCTCGAATGTGTTCCTGTACTTTTATATGCCGACTCTTATATAATACTGATAAAACAAGGGACTTACAGTACTATACCTATACTTCTATAACAGCATTTTAACCTTGAAGATTATCATTATTTCCTTTAAGGCAATAAGTTTGTCATATTATCACCACATAAACAAGTACAACACTCTAGTTTGCTTCTGGTCAATGTACCATGAAGTGAGTAAAATATTGAATTGCTATATCAACAGTTAGCATGGTCAATGTGGGGTTTTAATGTGAACACTCGTGAAATATTGCCATGTTAATTATTTTGTGGCCGTTACTCGCCTGTATCTTATCTGTACCAGATATATACAGTATGCAGCAGCGCGGTAGCTATCTCGAGTTTTGAGTACGATCAGTTCTGAACACAAAAAGTCTGGGACCTTGTTCACTCATAAACACAAGGGGAAAGGGCAGTCAAGTGAGTCTTAGCAAATTGTGAGAGCCTCGACGCCGCCTAGCAACACACTGGGTACGCAACCCTCTGTATTTGCTTATAACTGTCCGAGGATGTTGGGTTTATTGTCCACCGTCAGGTAACTGCAGCCTGGCGGAGAATTTTTAAACTCTTTTAATCTTGTGCTTATTTAAGATGCATATTGATATTAATGTTTGTGTAAAGGGGTATGTTAAGAATGGGATTGATCTTGGAAATCAAGTATATTCTGAGCAAAGGAACTGGGAATCAGTGAGTTGACAGGTCTTTACGGCAAGTTTGTTTTAAAGCACGTTTTGGTTATCCTTAATCTCGTTTTAATCAAGTAAGATATCTGTGTTAGTTAGCGTGATGAGGCAGTTTGTTTTAATTCGGTATTTTAATTGATGGAAAAGTCCCAGGAAATATTTAATTTTAAGGGTCGCGTGATTCTGGCGTTGACAGTTTTAACCCCCATTGTATTTTTCAAAGCCCCTCTTTTTAGACACCCGATCGCACCGTAATGGATCAAAATATCTCTTAACACTTTAATATTAAAGGCACTTTACTCTGGTTAAGCTTCGAGTGGATGATTCAGGAGAACAAACCGGTTTTTTAATGAAAGCCGATGCTGAGTTGACAGTCGCAATGGCTATTCGTCGTTTTAAATATTTCTAGTTTTATATAGATACTACGCCAGGACAGGGTTTTTTATTTATATTAAACAAAAAATAGAGGAAATTGACTGTGGTTGTGATAGTGCAGGAGGCAGGGCAGGTTTGGAAGCATTGGCCCACATCGTCTCTGCTGCACGGCATAATGACGACGCCAAGGAGGAATTCCTTTAGTAGCTGTTGTCGTGTGGATAGATTTACTCAGTACGTGTTTCAAGAATCAGCTGTTGAAGGAATGCCAAAATCTCATCAGACTCAAAGTTTAAAAGCCCTTTATTATTATATACGATGAAGTGGGTTATTTAGGTGAAGTTGGATGCTCAAAGGTTCGTACTTCAGTTTTTGCTTCTTAGCGAAGTGAAGAGGCCTCTGAGGCTCAGACTCACTTCAGCTGCAACACAAATAATTACATTCAAATTTGTCATCAAATCTCTCAGAAACTATAAGCTGTAACTGTTCTCTTAAGTTATCGTAGAAATTGAGCATGAAAGTCTACATCTGTTATTCTCCTTATCTCGAGTAGATATGAACCCTGTCTCTATTCTCGGAAAGATAAGTCGAAGTACTGACCAGATATAAGTGAATATATCTTGTTTTAACTGGCTCACCGCGACCTTGTGCATATACTAGGTCCTGGAGTACACACCCCACACAACTCAACCATCCAGGAGTTCTTCTTCAAATTACCATTGCTGTACTGTAGTTAGCTGTTTAGATACATTCATGCATCTCTTGTTAAGTGGAGATTTAGTACATGAACTTGAGATTTTGTTATGATATCGTAGCTAAGGTGTTTTAGATGCGTTCGTACATCACCAAATTAGAAAAAAAAAGATTTAGCACACGGGCGATTGAGAATCCGAAATTCCAGTCAGAAAATCGACCAATCACACTGCTACCTGACTCGCCACAATGCAGGCAAGCAGACAGGCACACTACTAGCTGCACGAATGACCTCCAGCCGGCCAGACAAGTGGGTGTGCTGTGAACTGATAGCCTGTTACTAAGGGGTCCACCAGAAAGGGTTCCCACTGACAGAATCCCCTTGGACAACTTTCGACTGAATAAAATCCCTGTAGACAACTTCTGAATGAACAAAAACCCTCTAGTCATCTTCCCACAGGACAAAATCCCCCTAGACAACTTACCTCTGGACAAAATATCACTATTACAGCCGTGATAACCCTCAAAGCTGTGACGATTTATGGTTCAAAAGAAACACTTAGCCTAACCAGTACTCTCTCACCAAATCCTTGACGGACTAAATTATTTTGGGACAGCCAGTACTTGGCCTCAAACACCCGGGCACAGGTCACTAACCCACATCGGGGCCAGTTTAGTACCTAATTTTATTACTTGACCTTGTTATTAAAGGGATTGTTTATACAAAGGACTCCTACTGAAGTTGATCTATTAACCGTGTGTTTTCACAGCATTAGTGACCTCCTGTTTGACCTTAACTCTTGTAGCTAGGGTGTTTACAAAAAAAAAAAGATCCCTTTTGACCTGTTTGGCGGGTGGATCGTGTGTTAACATAAAAGACCCCAGTTTGGAGGATTACTGTTGTGTACGTCTATTTGCAAAAGTTATCCCTGTTTGACCCTGATTATTTGTTTACGTAGAGGATCCCCCTGTTTGACTTTACCGTGTCGTGTGCGTGTTTGTATAAATATCAACTGTTAACTTAAATTAATGAGAGAGAGAATGCGAAATCTTACAATATGTAACGCGGGAGTTTTTGGCACCTTTCCTCAGCATAGGTTTTTGTTTACAATACTCACGTAAACACACATTTGTTGGTGTCAGCTGATCTTGCTCTGAGAGTGAATCCTGTTTAGATTTATAATGTTTATTCAGGAAGTGCAAGTACTATGCCTTAACATAGATTTGGAAACACGTCTATCTAAAAACACTAGACCTGTTATATAAGCAATACTGCTGATGTTTTGATGTAGGTAGAAATGATTGCTTACGTATTTGTTACATCAACAGTGTAAGCAGACAAACCATACACTGTAAGCAGACAAACCATACACTGTAAGCAGACAAACCATACACTGTAAGCAGACAAACCATACACTGTAAGCAGACAAACCATACACTGTAAGCATGCAAACAATAGTGTAAACATACGAACAATGGCAAAGAACATTCAAGGTAAAGTGCTAGATACAAAACAAATTCAAAATGAAAGTCTGTATTTAAAAATGAACTCTGAAATTACAAAATACCGTAGTTAGGTCATTTGAATTAAAGTTCTCTTTTTATATGTAAGAAGCCTCTTGACTTAAAAATCATCAGAACTTGGGAGACTTGATAAATACATTGATTGTCTGTTGCAGTGTTTAAGAAAGAAGAAATTACAATAAGTTCAAATAAATAAAGTGATTTGTGCTCTAAATATTGACCGAGGAGTTAGACAATCCAGCGACACTTGGTAGCGGAGGGGGAGGTGAGATACCAACGCCATCAAAACAAACCCGAGAAACGTCAGTGTATCTTGAGCTCCTGTGCACGGTGGACAAACTTACACATTCTCAAAGATGTACGCCTGTTCACAGCTGTACAGGCGTTTCAGCACCTCCCAGGTAACTATCTAATCATTACTGTAATCATGAATAAATGACTGAAAGATATTGTCTTGTTAACACTGACAGACGAAAATAAAAATCGTATGCACTGCAATCTGTAGGATGCATTCGTCAGGGCATATCATAAATCAACGTATGCACCTATTCCTCCATAGTAAGCACAAATAACGCGCATTTAACATATATATACACCATAAATAATCAAAACATTAAACATAACGAGTGTACAGAAATAAAACCTCAGTGACACGTGTTGTTTGATAATAGGTTGTTTGGCACTAAACCTGATAAATGTCCTGAATGCAAATCTAAATATTTTAAAGACATAATGCCATGTTTGATCTCTCCGACAGAAGTTATGAATGCTGTAAAAGGTCGCATGTTATATGTGCGTGAATAATGGCCGAGGGTATTGGCGAAAGTGTGCTTAATCGTGAGGGTGGGTGTGTGTGTGAGGTGTGGCCGGGTGGTGGAGTGGTGGCTATTTATATCGCCATAATGCTTGAGTCTGCCTTGTCTTACATTACAAGCAGACTCTTCAAACGTATTATAACTGTACCTTTTTAAATGTAATATGGCCAAATTGGTCAACTTGTAATGAGTTTAAAAGGTAGTTCAGTAGCTACAAACGAGCATTCTTAAATACTGTACTGAGTAAATTATAATTAGATCTTTATATAATAGGATTTGTATTACAAGTGAATTTGTTAATGACTAAGAGATAAGTGAACCTCTCGAGAAAACTGTTAGGTGGTACTGACAGGTGTTCCCCTTGACACAAATATGACTTTAAAACATGTCACAAGTAGAACTGGATCACCTGAAGATTAGCCTCCCAGCATCTCTCCCCATAATATTAACCACCCTAACACGAAGCTAACCTAACCTAAACCCCCAAGTAGCATTAGGATTTTTAATTATCAGGTGAAATAAATGGGAGGGGCTGCTCTTTTGGTCATCCATAGAACCCTTCCTGATAAGAGTACTGTACTGTTTGTTATCATGGTGTAGGTGACCTTACAAGTGGTGGTTATAGAGACAGATTACTATGTTCCAGCCAAGTTGAGGGAAAAGATTTATCCCGAGATGTTAAATTTAGGAAAGTGAATAGAAGTGCAGTAATAGGTCTCCATACAAACAAGTCAACTGACTGTTTTAAATAGTTTGTGTATTATAAGTTGGTACTTTATTAATGAACATATCACATGATTCACCCCTCAGCTTATTTTACCTGAAGATTAACTACCCTAATACAACTTGGGGGAGTTAGATTAGGTTAACATTAGGGTGTTGATCTTAAATTGAAATAAGCTTGAAGGGCAAATATTCAGAACATTGCTACAATTATTATTTTACTCATTAAAAGATGTAGAACAAAATACACTAAATGTAACTGCTGTCAGCATTTGTATAGTATTTCTATTGGGATTTTTGGCACATACGGGAACCAGAATCCTTATGTTCCGATGTTGCTGGCTTGTGTCTTGTTGTCTCGAATCAATTTTTAGTAACATGGACAAATGATGAACTGTGCTATAGGAACCATGTAATGAGGATTGAATAGCAAAAGTATCTGTAATTTTTGGTGTGGGTGAGTTTGGTAGTTCATGGTGAAGCAGCAAGTACTGTACTGCACTGCACACCCCAGCCTCCATATCATTTGCTGGAGGTGGGTAGTGACTGGAGTGCCATACATGCTCATGCATTAATGATTACAAACTTGTCTAAAACACAACAAGCAGATAGTTTTGTATTCCACTCCTCATTTCAAGACATTTTTCTTCTATAGGTCTCTCGGTAAGTTGAAGGAGTGTGTGGAAAGAAGTTAGCTTTGCCAGATTGTGATGTCTGGTTCACCTGTTGTGGTTGTCTACAAAGCGACTGTCTTGGTTATAGGGACAGAAGGTCAGGGTCATCATGGCCCGGTCTTGTCATCATCTGACAGATCAGGCAATTTAGTTTCATAAACCAGCATGCCAGTATCTATGTAACTTTGGTCTTGTATTGGATCGTGTGAAGATTAAACACCCTAGCATATTTCACCTGAAGATTAAACACCCTAATCTTCTAGTGATCCCTTGTAATGAATAAGAAATTGAAGGTTGGGGAAGCAACAGTAGGTTATACTGGAGATGAAATTCATGTGTCAGAACTGAGAAGAAAAAAAAGTGCTTGAAGATGTGGATACTTGGGACTCCTTATCTCGGAGGGCGTTGTACGAGCTATAATTGCATTGGCCTTGTCAGGCAGGAGGAACCAGTTTGGTGTGCGAGTGGTGTGGTGGACTGCTTCATGTGAGTGACCTTCCTCCACCTAACTGGAGGTGTTGCTTGTAACTTGATGTTGCCATAATATACAACAATGAATTTTAATGTCTACTTTCTGCCTAGTGTTGTTTTTTAGGATTACAGTACATTTATATTAGCCTTCCAGTATATTTTACTGATGATTAAACACTGGAGCATTCTGTAGGGTGGTCATTCTTAATGTTAAATAGCTGAAGCTAATCTTCAGGTTATCTGTTTACTTTGATTTCTTGCTGCAAGTTTTAATCTTTGCTATTTTTTATATTACAGTATTGTACAGTATACAGTATTTCTTTTTGCATTTTATCCCTCCAGTTTATCCATTTGCTGCACCTTACATCTAGAACAAATAGAATTGATACCTCTGACGTATGTGGGGGTTTTTTGTCGGAAGTCTTCAGGCTAGTTAGAAAATATTGTGGGATAATATCCCAAGGAACCATATTAAAACCAAAGATAGGGCATACCTGTCACTATGGTGTCCTAGGTTCAATTCCCATCCTGGGATGGATGTGACTACCAAACATGGCAGGCATTCCCCAGGTACTCTGGTTTCTTCTTGTACAAAGCAATGGCTAGTAAGCTGTAAGTGGTGAAATGATGAATAAACTAAACGTTTTTTGGCATCATACCTTTGCTTCCTGCATGACAGAGCTACATACGGTATGGTTCTTGTCATCATGGGTTTTCCATTTTACATATAAAAATAGTTGGAACTAGCTATATAAAGTTCCATTTTGGTATATAATGCACAGGCTTGTCTCACACTTCTTATTTGATGTGGTCAACATGTAGCTGTAGACTACTGGTACTATACTGTATTGTTACTCTTAAGCATAGAAAGATACTTGCATCAGCTTTTTCACTAGCTAGCAACTATTGGAATTGTTCCAATAAGGTACAACAGCGTCACAGTTTTGTATCAAGACGTTGTTAGTATGTAGTCGAGTACAAGATATTTACTAATGATGCCTCAAGACTTAGGTATACTGTAGTGGGTGTTCTTTGTTTTAAGTTGATAGGTGAGAACTGCAATTGCTCATCATAAACTGTATTTTTAGTTATTTGTGCTCTTCAGTGTCTTCCCATCCATTGAGTTATTACTGAATATGAAGTGATAATCTTGTGCACATTGTAGGCAGACTGGAAGCTATATTTATGTGCGTGTGGGCTCACCTACCATAATTAATTACGGTATACTGTATATATTTTTTTATCTATGGGAGCTAACCTTCAAGTGATAGGCAGATTGCCCCTCCCCTCCTGTGAGATTTGTTCATTGATCCTGCCCATTGTATAATACATTGTCATAATTTTCTTATTTTACAGAGTTTGTTGGACAGAATGAGGGTCGCTATCATTGGTCAGTCAACATTTGCAGGAGAGGTTTATAAACAGCTGGTGAAAGATGGACACAAAGTGGTGGGGGTGTTTACTGTACCCGACCAGGGCACCCGAGAAGACCCTCTTGGTGAGTATCATCTTAAGCTACATATGGCAAGATAAAAGAGATACATACCCTACAGTAATGTTAGCTCCAGTACAGAAAGATCTTCCAATACTTATGTCATGAAATCAGATGCAGATACTTTGCTAATTTACAGAGCAATTATTTCAATTTTTTGGTCCGTCATTCCCTTTCTTCCCTCAAACATTGTAAACCTCAGTTGTTAAGGAAAAAATTATGTTGCAGTTTATAAGATGCTGTCAGGTCATGGGGTTGGTAAAGGTGGTATCATTCCTCATAATAGATCTTAAAGTTAGCTCCTCTCGAGATATTATCACATCCTATTGTTTCTGTACCACAGCGACGATGGCAGCGGCTGACGGTGTTAAGGTGTTCAAGCTCAAGTCATGGAGGAAAAAGGGAGTAGCTTTGCCTGAAGTGTTGGAGAGTTACTTGTCAGTCAACCCAGAGCTGAATGTGATGCCTTTCTGCAGCCAGTTTATTCCAATGGAGGTAAGCAGAAACCTCCAAGAAAGGTTCAGCTTCCTCGTGTAACAAACTTTCTTTCCCTCTCATTTATCATTCCCCCATCCCCCCTCCTCCTCCCCTCCCCCCATTTTTTTTCCTCTCTCTCGCGCATATATATTCATTTGGCATAATTTTCCTATTTTGATACCTGAATTTGAACAGGTTACTTTATTACTTGTGATCGTCCACACCAGGATACACAGCATTTTCAAGTCGTGTAGTTAAATTGGTATTTTCTACTTGATGTGTAAAGCAATTTAGTACCTTGCATTCTCACTTCATATAATTTGGTTGTTGATGAATTATTTTTTACATGTACTATACTGTGTTCTACTCAAGTGCCCAGTGTTGTGAATGATCATGAAGTTATTGAGTGTACCAGCCATTCCATCATCTTAGTGCAAGTACAGTACAAGAAGAAGTGTATTGAAGGTCTATTTACTTGTGTGTGGCTCACTGCTATACTGTACTGTACATAGTGTTGAAAAGGCACTAGATATATTGAGCATACTTACAATAGTTAATTGGATGTACAGTACAGTATTTAGTTGCTTATTGCTCCATATTGTTGCAAAAGCCTAAGGTATATTTAGCATTCTTATGACCTGCAGGTAATCAACCATCCCAAGAACAAATCCATTTGCTACCACCCATCTATCCTGCCCCGACATCGTGGTGCTTCCTCCATAAACTGGTAAATTACGTGGTTGCTGATCAAATGGATCAAACCTGACATAACATCTAAGGTGGGGCAAAGGTCCAAACCTAACCTAAACTTTAACACATCCATTGCAGCTTGTCTGAATTTCAAGTGTACTGTACCATGAGTGCGGCAGTTTTTGTTCTGTACATGACATGTCCTCAATCAACAGCCAGAGGCAGACTTTTCTTTGTGGCATGTTTACAATGGATGGTAGGATTAGATGAAAAATAGAAAATAAATAATTGGATAAAGATAAAATATATGGAATTACTATGTGTCTTTTGAGAGTAATAAAGTTTTTGAAGTACGTACTGTATTTATTGTATTGTACAGTATTGGCAAATTTAAATGAAGTTGCCTTTATATTTTCAACCACAACTATAGTTGAGGCATCTCCCTAAAGAACAGTGGTGTAGAATCATATAACATACCTTAGCCACTGAAATGTTTATATTAAGTAATTCACAAAATGACACACTGTTTCTGTAGGACTCTTATGTGTGGAGACAAGACAGGAGGATTTTCCATCTTCTGGGCTGATGATGGTCTGGACACTGGACCCATTCTGCTGCAGAGGAAAGTGGACATTGATCCAAATGACACAGTGGATTCACTCTACAACAGATTCATGTATCCAGAGGGCATCAAGGCAATGGTAAGTTCACGCAGTGTTTGGTAATGTAGAGGAGACACTCCAGACGCATCTTAATCGTCGTGTAAGATGCCGGTAGGTAGTTGTGTAGCTTTCATGTTGAAGTGTGTCATAGTGCTTAGTTCATCTGACCAATGTATTTAAATTTGGATAGAGGATAACAAAAGAATAGATTTAGGGGGTCTCAGTAATGTTGAGAATTAAATTAAAAAAGCCTTGTCTATAAATGTTGAGTCAGTGTGAATTTGTTTGATGATTTTACTGAATAAATACCTGTCTATTTATTAACACTCATTTAATTCATATAGTTGTTACATTACTATAATTCATTAATTGATTGATTCTAATTAGGCTGAAGCAGTTAGCATGGTAGCAGAAGGCAAAGCTCCCAAGATCACTCAGCCAACAGAGGGAGCTACATATGACCCAATGCTGAACAAGAAAGAACTCTGCAAAATCAATTGGGACCAGCCGGGCGAGAGTGTACACAATTTCATCCGAGGGTTAGATTCTTCACCTGGCGCATGGACGGTGATGGACGGTCAAGAGGTGTGTTTAATGAACTCTTATTTTCCAAGAAAGGTTTAGGGGGGTATATAACTTGCCATGCTCTACATCTGTCTGTCTGTATACGAACAGTTCTCGCACAGTAACTCAGTTTGAACCATCATCCGCAAAAGGTTAATCATGCATACCACCAGCCTATACTGCATTCATTATTATCAGAGGGTCAGATAAATAGCTCCTTAAGTCTGGTACGGCAGTATATATATATATATATTTATATATTTTTTTTAGTATATCCTTACTGAGAAAACTCTGATCATCCACACTTGCCTTCAGTGATGTCCTCCCAGATTTGACTTCTCTCTTTATGTTTAGTTTTTCAACAGTGTCTCATGTACACAGGTAAAACTGTTTGGTTCAAAGATGTTCAGCGGATCTGCAGGCGATGGACTACAAGTTGAGATTGAGGGTCTTGCTACACCAGGTGTAATTCACAAGGATGGACTTATTCTCACCGGCTCAGATGGTAAAAAGGTAGGCTTCAGGTTTTGTATGGGGAGTGTTAGGGAGCATTATTTTCACCAAACTTACTTTCGTTTTTTCTGTTTATAAAGATTTTGCATGAATTTTAGTTCTCATAAATGCCTAAATATATTTTGAAACCTAGTGTTATTATAGCATGTTTGGTTTTGAACATTACCAGTGACACTAAAAGTTTGTTTGTATGTCCAGTAATTTTATTGTATGTAGTACAGTAAAAACTCTTAATACTGGACAGATGTGTACCCAAGTACTGTATACAGTACGTAAGCTTCAGTTCAGGGTAAGCTAAATTCTAATGATTAAAGGAAATTGTATTTGTGCAGATCTGGTTCTTTTGAATCTGTTATAAATGAACACCACTTTGATATATACCGGTAATATAAACTTAAATTTTGTGCAGTATTTGCTAGGAATTCCCTCTGTAGTGGTGTGACACTGAGGTTTTTAAGTGAAACTTATTGCAAAACTAAATGATCATTCCTGTGTACCCACAGTTGTGTGTGGCTCGCCTCAGTGTTGACGGCAAGATGATGAACGCCTCAAAGTACGGTACGGCGGCAGAAGCCACCGAGGCCATAGAGTTATCAGAGGAAGAACAGGAAGTAGCCAATAAGATGAAGGAGACTTGGAAGGCCATCTTGAACATCGAGATCGCTGATGATACTGATTTCTTCAAGTCTGGAGCTGGCTCTATGGATGTTGTGAGGTTTGTGTTCCTTAGTAGTCCTTTCACTTAGGGATTATTTGAAGAGAAACAGAAATCATAATGAAATATAGAAAATTATAGGGAACAGAGGTAGTGTATCAGTAAAATGTAGAAACATGACAACCAAGGGCTCAGCTAGCAAATAGAAATACTGTTCTTTACATACACTTTATCATATCCTCAATGTGAAATTGTAGTGTACAGTTGCCTCCACATGTATGTACCACAGCTAGAGAGTGTGTGAGGGCACATGTACGAGGTGTGGCAATGCAGCACCGTAGTCATGGGCGTGAAACCGTGGTTTACCCTGCTTGCTGATTTCCGATAGTTCAGTCCTAGTCACTTGGTCGTGGCTACACAACAATGCTGCATAACATGAACAAATAAAGCTTCAGTGTGATAAGTGTTCTTCAGCATTGATGTGTGGCCACGCAAACGGGAATTTCACCATTTGATGCTCCTGACTACGACTCTGATTTGCCACATCTCGTACCCGAGCCTTCACCCACTCCAGGCTGTGGTATGTTCATGTGAAGGCAACTGTATATAGTGATTCCTTAACATTCATGTACTGCATATACTAAATTGTGGTGAGAATTGAAGATGTTCTGATGTTTAACAGAATTGTGCGAAAAACAAATGAAAATGACTAACTATAAACTTGTATGATTGTATTGTGATAAAAATTCTTTGTAGACTGGTCGAGGAAACCAAAGAAAAGGCTGGAGTCTCACTGGAGAACGAAGATGTGTACATGGCTACTACCTTCCGAGAGTTTGTCCAGGTAAGGTTAAAATGAGTACAGTACAATGAAACTTGATGATTATGTTTGTCCTTCATGTGTCTGTTTGTTTGTCTTTCTGTAACTGCATTGTATGTAATCAAGAGTTTTCAGAATTATCTTCAACAGTCCTTCAGCGGCATTTCACAGTACAGTATTTGATTTAAATGGTGTCACTTTATGGATGGGTGAGGCACACATGCCAAGTCGGTCCTGCTTGAGTGACGTTGAACACAGTTATGTCCCTCTCTTGCCTCAGAAGCCTCGGCGGGGGAGGATATATCCTCTTCACAACACTCGTGTTTTAATAATGAGTGAACTTAAATTTGAGCAAAAAGAAATTTAACATGAATTTGAGTAAAAAAAAAAATTAACACGAGTGCAAACGTCTTAATTGCATACAGGAATTGTTTTCTGAATGATGTTGGAGAGGAACCATATATCATTAAAAATATCACAATATTCCTTTCAGGTGATGGTGATCAAGATGCGAGGAGGAGACACCAAGCCGGTGTTTGAGTACGATGCCTTCAAGATGCACGTCAACAACATGGACATAGAATTTCCTCAACAACTTTTCATTGATGGCCAGTTTGTGGATGCTACAAGTGGCAAATTCCTGAAGAGCATTAACCCTGCTACTGAAGAACTTATATGTGATGTAAGTACTGTACTGAATATGTGTCTAATCCTGTACACACCCACCAACCTTGTGTATTGTACTGTTTTTTATAACTCTTGAACATCACCACAGTGTCTTGTTAGTACATCTATATTCTGGTAACTTTTATTATTATACTGTACATAAATATTTAGCTGTAGGAACCAGATCTATCATTATCAATCCTCACTAACTGATTATGGGAACTTTTTGATCACCTCGGTTTGTATTTATGTAATTTTTTGACAGATTGTTAGTAACTTGCTGTAATGATTGGATATAATTATGACATTGTAATATTCCATGACATTAGTGGTTACAGTATTTACACTTATTATAGGTTCATGCAGCTGGTAAGGAGGACGTCAATATGGCTGTCGCTGCAGCTAAGAAAGCTTTCTATCAAGGACCGTGGGGCAGCATGAATGCCAGAGACCGTGCAACACTTATCTTCAAGTATGTGTCTATGTTTATTATGATCTTGTCATTATCACCACTCATCATTATTGCCATCATTACCACTTCTGGTCATTAGTATCATTATCACCACTCATCTTTATTATCATTATTATTATCATCATAGCTATCATCTTTAGTAACACATCACCACCACCAGAATCATCAATATTTGCACAGTTCTCTCATTCAGAGCAACACTGAACTAGCTATATTTGATGACTCCATGATTAATCTTTTTTTTTTTCACATATACCACTAAGTAAATTCATATCCTTCATCAGGTTGCTCAAAACATCATGGAATGGGTTTTTTCAGGTTTTCTCAAAAAGTCAAAATCCATAACTTTTGGCCCTTATAGGGCGGCAGACATCATAAGATGTTTGAGAGGAAAACACATAAAAGGCGGCGGACATCAGAGGATGTTTAGGTTTTTTTTGCATCATTGTTTTGGGTGTGCTCTTGGCTGTGTTGTTGTTTGGTTACTATGATGACGCTGGCGGCTCGCTCCAGGGCCAGAAAAGCTTGCACAGTACTTCCAGTTCAACTTAGTGATTTCTCCAAGAAATTATTATTTCTCGTACAGTATTTATTGACTAAATGGTGCTATTCAAAAAGTAGATATCGGTATTTTTTAAGATGATTCAAAGTGTGGATCTGTGATATTTCAGGTTAGCTGATCTGATGGATGAACACAAGGAGGAACTGGCTACCATTGAAACCATTGACTCGGGAGCCGTGTACACCCTCGCCCTGAAGACGCACGTAGGCATGAGCATAGACACTTGGCGGTACTTTGCGGGCTGGTGCGACAAGATTCATGGCAAGACCATCCCCATCAACAATGCTCGACCAAACCACAACCTCACCATCACAAAGAAAGAGCCAATTGGGTTCGTGATCATAATTATATGGTTTATATTATTGGTTCTTGAAATTTTATAGTAGTGTAATTTTAATAGCATCTGGATGGTAAACTATTAGATGCTAACAAGTGTAGTGAAAATTATCTATAAAAAATATTTACAAGGAAGAAACTCCTCTTTTTGTTCACATAAATGTTAGTCTTATTGAATTCAGTCCATATTTCAGTGACAACTTATTCACTTCCTGCAACATGTGATATGATTTTGTTTATCTTTTGTTGTACCAGTGTATGTGGCCTTGTGACTCCCTGGAACTATCCTCTGATGATGTTGTCTTGGAAGATGGCTGCCTGTCTCGCTGCAGGGAACACTGTTGTGATCAAGCCCGCTCAGGTCTCCCCACTTACTGCTCTCAAGTTTGCTGAACTCTCTGCCAGGGCCGGCATCCCTCCAGGCGTCATCAACGTCCTGCCCGGAACTGGTAAGATTGAACACTTGAGTCCAACTACTTGGAGGTTACTCACCCATAATATATTGACTATAATCCTTTTCATAATATGTTACTTATAGTATGTAATGTTACCCCAAACCCATGGTATGTACAGTGGGGTATGCTATAATGAACGGATCCTACTACGAATATTCCTATAACGAACGGTTTTACCTATAAAATTGATAATGCTATAACGAACGAAACTCCTACAACGAACATTATAAATTTTTTTTTTTACTAATTTATTGTTTCTGTATTACAAGTATTAATGATATTCTTTATTTCAAGGGTTTAGATGCATATTTATGCACTTTTTTACAATTTAATATATTTTTCAGTGTTAAGTGGTTGTATTTGGGGGCCTGGAACGGATTAATCCTATAACGAACGAATGCTATAACGAACGAATGCTATAACGAACAAGGTTCTAGAACCAATTAGGTTCGTTGTAGCATACCTCACTGTTCAGTATTACCCTCGCCTGTTTTTAATGACCAATCCTTCTTCTGAATAGTATCAACGTTTTTGTCTAGGATGAAAAAATAATCATTTTGGGAAAAAGAGTGTGTGACGTGCTAGTCTAGTTGTAAAAGGAAGAGTTTTGTGAAAAAACCTAGAAATGCATTAAGAAGTTTAATTTCATTGATATTTGGCTGTTGTACTCCTGTATATATTAGATTTAAAGTTAAATGGATCCCAATCCAAGTATGCCCTAGTCTTGTTGTACCATATTCTAAGCTGACCATTAGAACTGTGGCCCACTTAATCAGTCACTCAGATATTATATACTCCTCCATAGAAGACTGATATTTGTACCAGGAATACAGTACGTGACTGTAAAGAAGTCCCAAGTTGAATGATAAGTTGTGATAGCTAAATATAAAAAGTTGTTCTGAACACAGCAAACTTAATATCATCTCAATTTCCAGGCAGTGTATGTGGCCAGGCCATTGCTGATCACCCAGATGTCCGCAAGCTTGGCTTCACGGGTAGTACAGAGATTGGACAGGTCATCATGAAGTCCTGTGCCGAGAGCAACTTAAAGAAGGTGTCCTTAGAGCTTGGTGGAAAGTCTCCTTTCATTATCTTTGCTGACTGTGACTTAGATAAAGCTGTGAGAATGGTGAGTGATATTGAGCTGTGTACTTTTACTTTTCACCTTTTTTATTGATGCGAATGGTCACACACTGTTTGTTAGAACTGGGATGACATTTTGAGTAAGTTCTCATTATTTGGACAATGAGTTGATCACAACTTCTTTTTTGCAGGGAATGAGCAGTGTGTTCTTTAACAAGGGTGAGAACTGTATTGCTGCAGGAAGACTGTTCATTGAGGAGTCCATCCATGATGAATTTGTGAGGAGAATTGTTGAAGAGTGTAAGAAGATGGTAGGTGGCTCCATAATCTCTCTTGTATTCTTAACCCCTTGTGTATTGGTTTCCCTCTAAGCTGAAGGGCTTATAGTTTAATTACATTCAATATTTATGATCAGACTGAAATTAACTTGAATAATTAAGGATTTGCTTGTATGGAAATAGTCACCATGATTAAGGATTATTTTGTGGAAATTATCCTTTTTTATTTTTTATGGAAATAAGACTATATTTTAGGATTTTATTATGGAAATAAACTAGAATAACAGAGGTTGGGGTGAGGGGGGGTACCTATTGTATGAAATTGCAAATGTTTGGTGTAAATGAAGAAATAATTAAGAGATTGAGCTCCCAGTACTGTTGGCGAGATATCTGGAGGCATTAGGAATTGTGATGATTCAGTTGGAATCGCCATACCCGATAATCAGTTGTGACGGTGAATAATGGTAACAAAAGACTTAAATTTCTACAAGGACATTCCCAAAGTAAACAATAGGGAAACCTAGTGTTGACTAATCTTATTTTCAAACAGTAAGTCCTGAATCACATATATCTGCAGGTAATCGGTGATCCTCTTGACCGTGGCACGGCTCACGGACCACAGAACCACAAGGCTCACTTCGACAAGCTGCTGGAATATATTGATATTGGTGTGAAGGAGGGAGCCACGCTGGTCTACGGTGGTAAGAAGGTTGACCGACCAGGATTCTTCCTCCATCCAACTGTATTCACCAATGTTGAAGATCATATGTATATTGCCAAGGAGGAAAGCTTTGGCCCTATCATGATCATTTCTAAATTTGCAAATGGGTAAGTGCATTGTATTGTATGTGAATTGACTACTGTAGTTCTGAAATTATCCTCGTACAGTAGTGTTTCAGCTCTTGCACAATTTTGTGCCATTTCCTTCCTTCAATAAAGTTCCTGTATCCCTTAACACACACACACCCACACACACATCCCCCCCTCCCATGCGAACATTGGGAGAGGAGTTTAAGAAGTAATAGACAATGTTAATATTCTCATCTTGTTCCATTTCAGAGAAGTTGAGGAGGTGGTCACCCGAGCCAATAACACCGAGTTTGGTCTGGCCTCTGGAGTTATGACAAAAGACCTCAGTAAAGCCCTCCTTGTGTCCGAGAAGCTAGATGCTGGCACGTGTTTTGTCAACACTTACAATAAGACAGACGTTGCCGCACCATTTGGAGGATTTAAGCAGAGTGGCTTTGGGAAGGACCTTGGGGAAGAGGCACTCCATGAGTACCTCAAAACCAAAACCATCACATTTGAGTATTGAGTGTGAAGAAGATATGGATCTACTAATTCTCATGTTGGTAGATTTTTTACCCACATGTTAACATATAAGTGCACCTTTGGGGTCTGTCTGGAAATGGGTTACTCCATATTTTCATAATTTTGTATGTAAACTGAATCTGTGTACAGTCATTGATATTTCATCTCATAAATGATCAATGATTGTTATCAGAGAGTTGCGTGTCAAGTAGCTCCAGTTCTAATAGACCCCAATTTAACCGAACCAAGCCATTAATACTGGCCTATTAGGACTGGGGTCAATTTAATCCATCACCTATCGGACAACTTTTATCCACGTAACATAAAATTGCCTTCCTCGGTAATAAGATCGGTAAACCAACGAGTCTTACAAGTATCATGAACGATACTCTTGGGTCACCAGCCACCGAGGGGAGGATCTTGTTTGGCTGTGAGTGTTGTATAAGCGAGACATGTGTGAAGTAGAGTGAAGAATTTCACCCTCTAACCCAGTAAGACAAAAATATCCTTTTTTTTTTTTTTTTTTTTTCAGTCATAAAAAATCAGACTAATGGCAGAAGTAGAATTGTATGATATATATGTGGGTATATGGTGGTGTATAATTATATGAAGAAATGTATACAGTTAATGTCTAAAGAAAGAATTAATGATTTTGTGGTACAGTACACATTTATGTGTCGGTATGAATCATGCAGTAGATATGATCATGACTGTTGCTCTTGTATCTTCCAAAGGCTTGACACTGCTGAAGATAAAAAGGAAACTAGAGTAGATATCTGTTTAAACACATTAACTGAGACCTTGTGACACCTGGCCCTCACACAGTGCTTTACAGTGCCTGTTATCATCTATCCCTAATGCAGGATTTTGAGATCATAAATAACTTTTGCAGATTACATTACAAGATCTGATTTCCCTCTAGTTGCCTTTGAAATAAATACTGTACTCTGATGACTTGTTTTATAAAACGAAAATAGGTTAGAAGGTAATAAAAATGTCTGAAGTGACTTGTTGATATTAGAAGTCGATTGAGGAGGAAAATACTCGTTGTCTGGAAGTTTTTGTTTTAGGAAATTAAGTGACAAATTACAAAGTTACAGTGATTGTTGGTTTCATGAATTTGTAGAGCAATGACAAAATTGATGACCATTACTCTTAAGTCACTTATTATATAATGTGGTATATAACTTGTTTGTTGAACCTTCAAAATGACATTTTTTATCCTGGAATAATTCAGTCTTTGTATAATTCATCTACCTTTGGTTATGAGTGAAGATAAGTAGCAGAGTTCATGAACATGTTAATTGATTGATAAGAAGAAGCCACCAATGTATTAAAAATTGTCCATGTTTGGGAGTACTGTATATTAATACAATTGATATCTTGTGCCAACAGAATTGATATACACCCTGTTGTTATTTTCATAACTTGTTGTATGATGAATGATTTTGCCTGGTGTGAATAGAGAGAGATAAGAGGAGCATGAATTGATGTTAGTGATAGTTATTATATAACTATTTTGTTAATTTGTAGTAAATTTGTTACATGTAAATGAAATGCGTTTCTCTACATCTTCTTATATTATCAACATTTCTTTTTAATACTTTACATGTCATTGGAATAATTTAAATGGACCATTGGTTAATTCCTCTACATTGTGCCTCACCAGGAGTGTGGTGTGAAGGTGTTTTGCCTTCATGAACCTGATGAAATACATTGAAGTGAGTTCAAGAACTTTAATGTAATATATTGTGAAGGTTTATCCACAAAGTGCAGTTTGACATTTTGTTCTTACAAGATTATACTTGTGATGTCTTTAAGTTTGGATGTAAGCCTGAAAGGGGAAGTAAAAGTTAATGGTCTAATCTTGTTTTCTATTAAAATAAATCAATCTTGCCTGCACCATATCAAGTACTTGCTGTGACCAAAGATCAATGACGTTGTACAGCTCCACTATTAGAAGCATTATAATGTGCCCCTCCACTTGATCCACCATCCCCCGCTGTATCTACCTTTAAAAGTATACATTGTATATTTTTTTTAAAAATCTACTACAGTTCTGAACTGAGGACAGTCGTACACATTCCCAATGCACCAGAGCCAGCCAGTGTACATCATGTCAGCCTGCTGCCTCCATGGCTGTAGGCAGTTTTAGTTATTTGGATTATTCAACAATTACCATAGGGTGAAGCTTCAAAGTTGTTCTGTATTTTATATTTCTTAAACTCGTTTGTCTAAGAGGTAAGGGTACAACTGATGCCAAAGGAAGAGATTATACCCTCTGCATCTACTGTACTATACATACTTGTTTTTCATCAATTTTCTGTTATTATTTGTTACCCAGAAACACTGGATGATTTTCCTCCAAGTTTGGCGTAAGTTTAGAGGAAATATTCCTCAAACAAAGGTTTTTGGAAAGAACAGAAAATATCCAACTGGAGGATATCAGCCGGGGACATTTGTTTTGTAATACAATTAATTCTTGTTTTGAAATACATTTGAGGAATATGCTTTATTTACAGATTCAGATATTATATACACAGTAATTGGGGATTTTTTTTCTGAGCTGGGGGGATTCTGGGAAGTTTTTACCATATTATTCAACTTAATTTCTCAGATTGTTACTCATTTGGTGAGTGCCCCATAGTTAAAATACACAGTAGCCAAAATCAAACATGAATGTTTATTGCAAATATTTTTTATGCTTATAGTCTTCACAAATTTTAGTTAGTAAACTTAAATTTGTTTAGTATTTTTAATTGTGCACCATTATTAACAGAAGATAAACTAAAAGGTAAACTTTTTTGTGATGTATTGTGTGAGAATTCAAATTTAATACTTACCAATTGATTTATCTGATGCACCAGCAACTGGGGTTTCAATAGCATGTGTAGTACTAAATTAAGAAAAACAGCACCTTCCATATATACTAACAAAATATTTAGTTTTATTTCTCATGTACTGTTCTGTCATTTGGTTTGTTTATTCTTAGTTTAATTGCATTAGCTAGTTGTTTTTGTTGCTGGAAGGCCTCTGCTATTCCTTGATTTTTTAGCCATTTCCTCACACTGTTTTCTTTGTTTCTAACTGTTTCTTTAACAAAAATTTCCTCTTATTTTCTTCCTGCTACAACCTCTTTTACTTTAACATTCTTCTACACCTACTGCTGGAAAGTTTTATGTTCCTACACATCATAGAGTCCCTCTCCTGGGGGGGGGGGACACACACATGCCCTACAGCCCTGATATATATATATATATATATATATATAATTGTCTATATACTATATATATGTCCTGGGTTATATATATATATTATGATCATCAGAAAGGTTAGTTAAGTTATTAGTTAAAACCCACCAACAACAAACCATTTTTACTTGCCCCTGTATATTAATCAGTTAATCACTTTACTACAACCGATGTTCATTATAATACTGTAACTAATTGGCAGTTAGTCCTCTACATTTTATACTGTACCACTTTATTAAGCTTTTCAGACCCCTCCAACACAGTCCTCCAGACCCCTCCAACACAGTCCTCCAGACCCCTCCAACACAGTCCTCCAGACCCCTCCAACACAGATCCTACAGACCCTCCAACACAGTCCTCCAGACCCTCCAACACAGTCCTCCAGACCTCCTCCAAACACAGTCCCCAGACCCCTCCAACACAGTCCCCAGACCCTCCAACACAGTCCCCCAGACCCCCACACAGTCCCCCAGACCCAGCCCCCACAGTCCCCGAGACCCAGCCCCCAGTCCCCCCAGACCCTCCCCTACACAGTCCCCAGACCCTCCCCCCCTACACAGTCCCCCAGACCTCCCCCTACACAGTCCCCAAACCCCCCCCAACACAGTCCCCAGACCCTCCCCACACAGTCCCCCAGACCCCTACACAGTCCCCCAGATCCTCCCCCTACACAGTCCCCCAGACCTCCCCCCACACAGTCCCCCAGACCCCCCCCCCACACAGTCCCCCAGACCCTCCCCCCACACAGTCCCCCCAGACCCTCCAACACAGTCCCCCAGACCCTCCAACACAGTCCCCCAGACCCTCCCCCACACAGTCCCCCCCCAGGCCCCTACACAGTCCTCCAGACCCCCCCCCCACACAGTCCCCCAGACCCTCCCCCCTACACAGTCCCCCAGACCCTCCCCCTACACAGTCCCCCAGACCCTCCCCCCACACAGTCCCCCAGAACCTCCCCTACACAGTCCCCAGACCTCCCCCCACACAGTCCCCCAGACCCTCCCCCTACACAGTCCCCAGACCTCCCCCCACACAGTCCCCCAGACCCTCCCCTACACAGTTCCCCAGACCCTCCAACACAGATCCCCCAGACCCTCCAACACAGTCCCCCAGACCTCCAACACAGTCACCCAGGCCCCCACACAGTTCCCCAGGCCCCCACACAGTTCCCCAAACCCCTCCAACACAGTCCCCCAGACCCCCCACACAGTCCCCCCAGACCCTCCAACACAGTCCCCCAGGCCCCCCACACAGTCCTCCAGACCCCTCCCCCACACAGTCCCCAGACCTCCCCTACACAGTCCCCACAGACCCTCCAACACACGTCCTCCAGACCTCCATCACAGTCCCAGACCCACCTCCAACACAGTCCTCCAGGACCCTCCAACACAGTCTTCCCAGACCCCCTCCAACACAGTCCTCCAGACCCTCCAACACAGTCCTCCAGACCCTCCCAACACAGTCCCCCAGACCCCTCAAACACAGTCCCCCAGACCCCTCCAACACAGTCCCCCCAGACCCCCTTACACAGTCCCCCAGACCCAGCCCCTACAGTCCCCGAGACCCAGCCCCTACAGTCCCCCAGACCCTCCCCACACAGTCCCCCAGACCCTCCCCCCACACAGTCCCCAGACCTCCCCCCTACACAGTCCCCCAGACCCTCCAACACAGTCCCCAAGACGCCTCCAACACAGTCCCCAGACCCTCCAACACAGTCCCCCAGACCCTCCCCCACACAGTCCCCCAGGCCCCTACACAGTCCTCCAGACCCTCCCCCCCACACAGTCCCCAGACCCCCCCCACACAGTTCCCCCAGACCCTCCAACACAGTCCCCAGACCCCTCCAACACAGTCCCCAGACCCCTCCAACACAGTCCCCCAGACCCTCCCACCAGTCACCCAGGCACCCCTACACAGTTCCCCAGGCCCCCTACACAGTTCCCCAGACCCTCCAACACAGTCCCCAGACCCTCCCCTACACAGTCCCCAGGCCCCCACACAGTCCCCAGACCCCTCCAACACAGTCCCCCAGACCCTCCCCCACACACAGTCCCCCAGACCCCTCCAACACAGTCCCCCCAGGCCCCCTACACAGTCCTCCAGACCCTCCCCCACACAGTCCCCCAGACCCTCCCCCCACACAGTCCCCTAGACCCCCCCCCACACAGTCCCCCAGACCCTCCCAACACAGTCCCCCAGGCCCCTACACAGTCCCCCAGGCCCCCCCACACAGTCCTCCAGACCCTCCCCCACACAGTCCCCAGACCCCACCAACACAGTCCCCCAGGCCCCACACAGTCCCCAGACCCTCCAACACAGTCCCCAGACCTCCCCACACAGTCCCCCAGACCCCTCCAACACAGTCCCCCAGGCCCCCACACAGTCCCTCCAGACCCTCCCCCCACACAGTCCCCCCAGACCCTCCAACACAGTCCCCCAGGCCCCCCTACACAGTCCTCCAGACCCCACACAGTCTCCCCAGGCCCCCCCACACAATCCCCCAGGACCCTCCAACACAGTCCCCAGACCCCTCCAACACAGTCCCCAGACCCTCCCCCACACAGTCCCAGGCCCCCCACACAGTTCCCCAGGCCCCCCCACACAGTTCCCCAGGCCCCCCTACACAGTTCCCCAGACCCCTCCAACACAGTCCCCAGACCCCCCACACAGTCCCCCAGGCCCCCACACAGTTCCCCAGGCCCCACACAGTTCCCCAGACCCTCCAACACAGTCCCCCAGGCCCCCTACACAGTCCTCCAAGACCCCCACACAGACCCCCAGGCCCCTACACAGTTCCCCAGGCCCCTACACAGTCCTCCAGACCCTCCAACACAGTTCCCCAGACCCTCCAACACAGTCCTCCAGATCCCTCCAACACAGTCCTCCAGACCTCCAACACAGTCCCCAGACCCTCCAACACAGTCCCCAGACCCTCCCCCACACAGCTCCCCAGACCCTCCCCTTCACAGTCCCTCAGGCCCCTACACAGTCCTCCAGACCCTCCAACACAGTTCCCAGACCTCCAACACAGTCCTCCAGACCCCTCCAAAACAGTCCTCCAGACCCTACACAGTTCCCCAGACCCCTCCAACACAGTCCTCCAGACCCTCCAACAGTCCTCCAGACCTCCAACACAGTCCCCAGACCCTCCCCTACACAGTCCCCCAGACCCTCCCCCTTCACAGTCCCTCAGGCCCCCCCACACAGTCCTCCAGACCCCTCCAACACAGTTCCCAAGACCCTCCAACACAGTCCTCCAGACCCCTCCAACACAGTTCCCAGACCCCTCCAACACAGTCCCCCAGACCCTCCCCTTCACAGTCCCTCAGGCCCCCCACAGTCCTCCAGACCCACATAGTCCCCAGAGCCTCCAACACAGTCCCCCAGAGCCCTCAACACACACCCACACCCTCCCCACAATCTCGAACTATTAAATAAAAATACAGGGTATCAGGTAAGATTCAGTTAAGAAATAACTTCAATAATATTTATATCACAAAAACCAGATATATTTGTTTATTCTAGACCAGTTATTAATGCTGTTTACAGTGGTGGTGATGAAAGTTTGGGAGAATGCGTAATTATTGAGTTATGACCACCCGGTTCGGCCAAAAGTGGGCTGGGCTTCGAAGTACTGTAGTGGGAAAATGTGAAATAAATCAAATAAATAAAGAATAATATAACTTATTCTGGTCATTGTACTCTATTACTGGGTGATTATTACGTAAATAATTACATAAGGTTTACGCTCGTTACCCGCCGCCGGCTTATAATTTAGGCTCGTTTGGCGTTTTTTTTAAAACATTAAAAAATTACTGGCTAGAATAACACCTAATATACTGTAATGCTAAATCTTATTATTATTTGTTTAAACTGTAAGGTGGATACCATAGGCCTTGCAGCCCAGTGAAACTTTGGGTACGACCTTGCGAGTTAACAACCGGCCGGCAACTGTTTACTTAACCAAAACTTATAACGTCATAATTAATTATACTAAGCATTATTATTTAACTATATCCAAGGAATAACTATTTCTATTGGTCACTGAATATACACGTCTGTGAAATTAAATTACGTGTATATAATGGAGACTAGAGGTGCGGGGTGTGGGCCTTACCTGCCTGTGTGAGCTGGAACCGGTCGGTGGTGAGTGTTGAATGAAAATTGGCAAAATTATGCGAGTCGAGGCCATATATATGAGGGAACTTTCACTTAACACGGATTTTTTCCACATATACGCGGTGAGTGTCCGGCTCGAGACGCTATTTTTAGATTTGCCCCACCCGCCACCCTGCCTGACTGCCTGTTTTAGCTCATAAAATTCATACAAATTACCCGGCCAGAATATAATTTACATTGCTGGAATTCTTATAATTTGGTGATCATTTTGAATATAAACATCATATATTTTGCATTAGACATACAAATTTTAGATAAAAATTTTTCTCAGAGTAACTATGTTATCTTTTGTGCAAAATATATGACATTTATATTCAAAATATTCCTGGTCTTACAAGGAATCCAGCAATGTCAATTATATTATCCTAACTTTAGTTTGAGGTATTATTTATTAAAATTTAGTGGTTATCCCACACATCTCCTTGGGACGGTTGGTGGGGGGTGAGGGGGAGGGAGGGACGGACCGACCATCTGTTACCCTGCGAAGAATTATTTTTTTTTTTTATTAACTGAAGATATTTGTTTTAGTTCATAAAATTCATACAAATTACCCGGTCTGAATATAATTTACATTGCTGGAATTCTTATAATTTGATGATCATTTTGAATATAAACATCATATTTTTGCATTAGACATACAAATTTTAGATAAAAATTTTTCTCAAATTAACTATGTTATCTTTTGTGCAAAATATATGACATTTATATTCAAAATATTCCTGGTCTTACAAGGAATCCAGCAATGTCAATTATATTATCCTAACTTTAATCTGAGGTATTATTTAATACTAAATGTTAAAAACCCTGGAAGGGAGGATTGGGACTGACCGTGCGGTTGGAAGAGGGGGGGAGGCAAGGTGGGGTACTTTGATTGACAGATAGTGTCGTGAAGATTATTTTTTTTTTATTAACTGAAGATATTTGTTTTAGCTCATAAAATTCATACAAATTACCAGGTCAGAATATAATTTACATTGCTGGAATTCTTATAATTTGGTGATCATTTTGAATATAAACATCATATATTTTGCATTAAACATACAAATTTTAGATAAAAAATTTTCTCTAGGTAACTATGTTATCTTTTGTGCAAAATATATGACATTTATATTCAAAATATTCCTGGTCTTACAAGGAATCCAGCAATGTCAATTGTATTATCCTAACTTTAATTTGAGGTATTATTTATTAAAATTTAGTGGTTTTCCCCCAAAAATTTCTCTGAGAGGGAAGAGCCGGCAGTGTAGTGTGAGAGTGGGAGGGAGTTGAGTCCATTATTTGAATGGACATTAACTTGGCGACTGTATTTCTCTATTTTTCTTAAGTATTAATTGTGTGCATGTACCATCATAAAATTAAGATGTTATTTTTACTACAACATAGGTATGTGCCTTCAAAAAGTGGAGTTTGGGGGTCGGGCCGGTTTCTATTGGAATTAATCCCATATGTTCTGTTGTTCACTTAACGCGGATTTCACTTAACGCGGGACCCTCTGGGTTCAATTGACCGCGTTAAGTGGGGTACAACTGTATTCTTAGAGACAAATTTTCTTCTATAGAAAAGTGTGTGTGTATAGGGGGTTAGGCTTTTATTAGGCCGATTAATCTTCAGGTGATATAAGCTGGGGGCTAATCCTTACATGACTTAAGTTGGGGGCTGATCTTCAGGTGATATGTATATGTATAAGAATGTTGTTGACTGTGTGCTTATCTGACAATGCTTTCCTTGTAATAATAATAAGGGGTAAGAAGAAGGTCAGTATTTTTTTTTTTTTTTTTTTTATTCAAAATTTTTTTAATATATACATAAACTTATTTTTTAACAAATAACAATATCAGCATATGGTATACGTGTAGTATTTGGAGTTTTTCAATCATTTTTGTTGTTGTCTGGAAGTGGGGTGATGCAGCCTCTGTCATCTGGTGGTGGTGAAGTAGCCTCCTGTCATATAAGCCTGTCTCCTGTGCTTCACTTCTGTAAGGTTTGATGATATAAATAGTTATATTGATCTTCAAGAGTGAAGTGCTTCCCCATCTGGAGTACTGTCACCCCATTTGGTCCCCGAGATATGCTAGGGACGGTCATTTGGTTGAAAATGTTCAAAGGAGGGCCACCAGACTGGTGCCTGCACTTCGGCACCTCAGCTCCCCTGAGAGATTGGAGGGCCTGAACTTGCCTAGCTTATACTACAGACGGGCAAGGGGGGACTTAATTGAGGTGTATAAGCATCTCAGGGGGCACTACTCAGTCGAGTGTCCTTACGTGGAGCTGGCAGACGCTCGCTCCACAAGGGGTCACAGCTCAAGATTGAAGAAGCCGCAAGTCCAGAAAACTGTGAGGGCAAACTTTTTCGGAGTGAAAGTTGTGAACTCTTGGAACAATCTACCAGAGAGTGTTGTGACGGCATCGAGTGTGAGCTCTTTCAAGGTCAGACTTGACCAACACTGGAGCAGGTTCAGGTACATTCAGGAGCCAGTGCATGCCCAGTATTTGCCAACAGTGCGTAACACGAATATAAATTACACATGCATACAGATGACTCGAGAAGTATTGTGTTTTATTATACATGAATATTAATTATTTACTAAAGAAAATGATTCAACATTGGTAAATAAACAAAATGTAGAACAAATGAAAGTGATTTGGCACCAGCGCCTAAACCACCGTCTTAACAATGTTTTTATTTTATATTTTCGTCTTTAATAAATTTTCTTTGTTTTTTATTTTATATCCCAAGCAACAGTTATTTTTGTGTATATAATGATGGGAATGAACGCGGTGATGAAAGATAACCTTTTGCTTGTGCATACATTTGCAGAACAAGATTTTAATGTGTTCAGGAAGCTTATTGCACATCTCTCCTCACACTGGAATGTACCCCCATTAGGGTCATGGCTCTGTGTCTTTAATTTTGACAATGTTTCTAATACTTCCCCCCATCCAAGTCTGCGTAACTACAATCTTTTGCCTCGGTCTGATATGCCCACTTGTCTTAAATTCAGATTTAGTGTGTCGGTAACCTTTCTTGGCCCTTCGACTTTCTGGTTTAGCTTGGTTCCTGGACCTAACATACATTCTTCTAATCATTTGTTGCGACCCATCTGGAAATTTTAATGTTTTAATTTTGTCAACTGCTGCATGGTTCATATGTAATGGTCTCCCTGGAGTCAATGGGTTTGACTTGGGGTATATATTTTATAAAATACAGTAGTTCACTTCACTGGCCATGATATTCTCCGAGTCAGGCCAGTGAATGCTTTTCATTTCCTCCATTGTCATAATTGCCATTGTAATGTTTGAACCTTGACCTGCTCTAATGTACCAAGGAACAGTTAAAATTGAAGGACATCATCACATGATGGCTGGTGCCGATGGGGGCCAAATGTTCCAACTTGGCCACCTTACCCTCCTTGTTAATGAAGTGATCTAGTGGCTTTGGTGTTTGTTCCTCTCTATAGCGAGGTGGATCTTTAACATGTTGGAAAAGGAAATTGAGTTTCTTTAAACAATTGCACGGTTTTTAGTGGTTTAGTGAACTAATTTCATTCTTCCAGTCAGTTTCCTGAGGGTCACCCATAAGGAGGTGTCTCGAGTTGAACGCTGTTGTCTATTAATGCCTATGAACTGCAGTTCGGGGATCTATAAATACACCCAACAAGGGTTCTCTTATCTTCAGTTGAATTATACACAATTTTTATTTTTTAAAAACCTTCTCTCCCTGCAAGTACCTTCAGCTTGCTGGCTCTAAGGTCCAGTCTAGCATTAGTAACCACACCCCTCTTAAAAGTTACACAAATAACTAGTGTCAACCTTGGCATTATTGACTTGCCAACATCGTTATCACGCAGTCCCAGTTTGTCCAATACTTTGTTCTCAAAGTTCATTTGTTAATAATAGAACCATAATGTGTAGTGACTTAATACAGGTAACTTCTTGCATTCTATATAAACTTTATAACTCTTGAAACAATATTGATTTCCTCAAAGCTATAAATGGTGGCATTTTAAGTTTTTTAATTATCTTTATTAAACTTGACAAGGAGCATTACGTATTAATATTTTCTGGGCTGTCTGTTGACGTGTTTTTACAGTTTGATTAATCTGGCATGTACTGTAATTGTAAATGTTGGTTTCTTAAAACTTTAATTCTAAGTTTTGCCCTAATTTGAACCTTTAATATTATGTAGTCTTGTCCTGAACTTGACAATGGATAGATATATTTATTTGGAAAAAAAAAATTATACACTACTATATGAAATAGAATTGGCAGATATGAATTTTGGGAGGTATCACCTAGATATTGAATAATTGGTTAATTATTGATTGTCCTTCATAAGTGGAGAGAGAAGCAGGTACAGTACAGTACATTATTATATATGCTACTTTGTGTGGATGCTCACTGTGCACAGCTACAGTTTTGAAGGTCAAGAACTGAAATATTTCATGGATATGCATCCCATTATTGTTAAAGGTATTAATATAAAGCTGAAATCTGGTACACAGTACAGTACTTACCGTATATAATTCAAGGAACCAAAAGCAAAGCTAGGTAATGCTGGGTATCCCAGCTAATATACTGTATATAGAACAGTACAGTACTGTATATATTCTAAACACTGTACTGTACAGTATATCAATATATCGTATCCCCATGTTGATAAATTACTGGTACTGTACTTCACTCTTGGAAAATAAAAAATTAATTTTCACATATTTATCATACATTTGCATGATACTAAAATGTGTGAAGATGGCACTGGTGAAAGTAAACTTTTTATATTCTTACCAAGTACAGTAATTATTAATAACAGTTCAGTGTAATATTTTATGTGGTAGCCAAGGCATGGTAACTGAGTACAGTATGTTTGATGGTTGGAATTGTGAAGAACAATCTTTGTAACACTAAAAGGTGCAAAAACTGAAGAAAATAATAATAATAATTGAACACAAATATTTGGAAAATGTTAATGTTGAAATATTCCAAACTTGATTATTTCATATTTTTTGGTAACGTGAGTGACCCAGAGGCCCCTTTTGTTGAATTAATGAGGGTGTAGTGTACAATACTTTTGTTGTCATTGTCTGCCATTCTGCCATTTAATAACTTCTTGAAATTTTCAAGAGAATTACTGTAATTACCAAAGATTTGTTTTAGGAATAATTATTGCAAACCATCTGTATCTGACACAGTAACTGAAGACAATGTACTGTACAGTACATTGTCTTCAGTTACTGTGTTAACTTTGTGTTGATGTCCTGTACCTCAAGGAAGATAACTAAAACCGTACCCAACATAACCGGATATTGTTTGTCATTCATTATGGTTATCATTTTCATCACAGCTCTGTGATATTACTATTAAGCTGAAGCTGTTTTAGATATTTTGTACTATTTGTGATACTGAACCTCAGGAGTAGCTTATAACCTAGTACTCTCCATTAAGGGACTCTTGCAATATGTGTACACCTCAGCATTAGTGACTGGGTAGTAATATGTAATGATTAGCTGGCTAACTTGTTGCAACCATCATTAAATGAGAGAGATTAGCAGCCACAACCACCATTTAAAAAAGGAGGATACAGTCCTGTCACTGTTATTAGGTTGGCCTTAAAGGTTAGTACAGTACAGTACCCAGTTACTAAAGGGGAGGGTATCCCAAGTCTCAAACCTGTATACTTAATGAGATTATTAAAAGTGTGGTTTAGTTATGGGCTCACTTATAAGGTATTTCATGCTCAATTCTCCATTTCTTGTATGCTTGAGTGAGCACTGTTCATCATTAGCCACAGAAAGGTAATACAGTACAGTATCCACCTTTATTTTCTGGCTGTGTTACTGGCTAGGATAATAAAAGTGAGATCATATAAAACAGGCTTGATCTTTATTTACACACTGACTAGTGTTAAATAAAATAGAAAGTATGATTGTGCACAAGAAAATAAGGATGATTGATACAGTACATGTTAGGGTTATTAAAATATATAAATATTTTTATCGTGTGTTTTTTCTCAGCTGAGAAAAGAGTTACAGTTGATTGGTTGTTGCAAATCTGTTCGATTTCATCCTGAAGTAATGATGTATTTCTAAATGAGTTTATTCATAATCGTTGGGGTGACCGTTTCTGACGAGAAAGATATTTAGCTAAATTATATAAAGATAGTTTTTGCATAATGTAGTTTTACTGATATGTAATTTGTCTTAGTATGCCTTATTGTCGGTAAAAATAAATATATTAAATGCTTCCTCCGAAAGCGTGTATTTGTTACCAGAGTTTAATACTGTAGTTAATTAATGTATAAAATATCTGATAAACTTCCTTCGTGCTCCTTTTTGAAATAATGAATGTATGTATCTTTATATAATTTAGCTAAATATCTTTCTCGTCAGAAACGGTCATCCCAACGATTATGAATGAACTCGTTTAGAAATACATCATTACTTCAGGATGAAATCGAACAGATTTGCAACAACCAATCAACTGTAACTCTTGAGGGGGCGGGGCATCTTTTCTCAGCTGGGAAAAAACGCACTATAGTACATATGTGGTAAAAAGATTCTCCATGATAATTGCCGACCATATTCATGATGAGGCAAGAAAATATGCTGAAGTGTTATTCCAATATACCATGATGCAGTTTTTAAAACATACTTACCTATATCCAATACAGCCAAGAAAATAAATCCTAATAAATTAAGTTGTCCAATTATGTATTTTTATTTTTTTTTAAATCCAATGTATGACTAGAATACCTATTAATTTTTTTCTACACCTGTACTCTTGCCATTTTCCTAATGCACTTTTAATGTAACTTGCATGAGAAAAATTCCAGTACAGTATATTGGAATGCAAACTGTTTGAACATTCAGTTGAATTATACACAAAATGGTGGACAACCTTAGTACTTCTATATAGTACACTGCACACGTCATTATTAAATTACAGAATACCCCTTCATTGTAATTACTGACCTATTTTACACAATTATAAAGATTTGGGGGAAATACAAAACTGGAAACCACTGTATTAAGTACAAATGATATGGTAGCCATATTTAGGAATGAAAAGTTACTTGTACTTATAAGACGGTGAATCACAACAGTATCCATACAACTCTTTAAAATGTTGCTTCTACTTATAGCCTGACTCCATGAAGCTCAAAATCTCTTAAATTTTTACATGAAAGGATTATAGAATGACATAGTTACTGAAGTTGATTAGCAAACAGGTTTAGAATTATCAATTTAGAATTTGAGCAAATCAACTGTGCTGTACAACATTAACACAGAAATTGTTCACGAGTTTTTGTAGAAATTACAAAATTTATTTTGTTGTAGTGATGTTACAAAGGTACTCGAAATATTGAGTGACCAATATCTGGGTACCTCAACACAACCAATACTGTAGGCAATATTTCACACTGCATTGAAACCCCTTGAATTATCGTTGCTTTGACAAGTTGCTCCCAAATCCAGTTTTCAAAATAATATATTTACTATACTGTATACCTATATTTTGATGTCTACAGTACATGTTGCAATTGTATTTTCTTAACATTTTAACATTCTCTGTACATGTTAACATTACTCAAAGGTTTTCCTGCACAAATAAGGAAACACAGTCAGGGGCCACTTTCATCAAAGATTTGCACCTAAAGTTTTCCCCTTAACTTGTAATGTGAGTACTCATTTAACAGCTCACTTAAGCTGCAGCACAAAGATGTCAGCCAAAATTGTGCTGAAACCTTAACTAGATGTCTTTATCCCCAGTTACAAGGAAAAATTTTTGTGCATGAAACTTTGAAAGTACTGACTGATAGCCGTGGTTTGACACAAGTGTTCTGCTAGACACTTTATGAGGTTATAAAACTCATTATCTTAAAGCAGTAGCAGGAGGAAGAAAATGGGGTAAGGGTGCAGGCAACAAAGTGGGACTGATGGCACTAAGCACTGCTGGTCATTACTGATACACACTTGGACAAAATGCAAGTAATTTATGCTATACAGCACTCTTAAATGTATAACCATCCTATATCAAGATTTAAACAAGATAAAATAATTTTATGTATACACAATAAGAGGCATTCTGAGACGGAACATAACACACACTTGAGATAAATAATATACAGAAGCAGCTCAATAGGAAAAAATATATTACTAATAACCAGTTTAAAAGATAATTGTTCAGCAAGTAGTCATAACTTATTACCTGCTGTCATATTAAGTACTACATTTGAATGTACAATTTCTTACTATACTAATTTATATAAAAATCATATCCCTAGATTGATATCTTTTAGAAAAAATGCAATGTACACTATTCTCCCTACCTAGTTATCCAGCCAGTCTACCTCCAGGTGTTATATTTCAACTGAAAAGTCTGATATGTTTTCTCACTGAAGACATATTCAGTCTTTATATTTATCCCATCAGAAATTCTACTTTTTAAGTGTAATACTGTAGAGATAAATTACCTTTGTTTTATGAACAAGTTACTTGTCTGGGGCAAAACATCTGCTGTAACTTCTTTGTTGAATTATATACTACATTATATAACCGGTCAAATGGGCCCCAGTCCTAATGGTCCCTACACTAAGTTAGCCATTAGGGTTGGGGACCAGTCCTAATGTGACCCAACTAATATACCAGACCTAATGGTAAAGTTTGATCAGGGTTTATTAGAAATAGGGCTCATTTGACCTGTATGCCATCCTATAATGATGAATATTTGTGTCCTATCAATATTACAAATGCAATCTTGTTTATGAATTTATATGAATGAAATGCTGTCTTGTTTTTTTGGGTGAACAACTTATTGTAAATCCAGTTCAACAACTGTTAAAACAGAAGCATTACTTTTCTCCCTATAACACAATGTCTTTAAAAAAAAAAAAATATTTTGCAAAAGATTTCACAATTCATCTCACAAAACACAAATCCAAAGTATTTAAACATACCTAACCACCATGTACTTGTATGTCTGTACATTATTGCCATTAATTTGTAAGTACATCTGACTGTACAAATTGCACAGTTTGGTAATCTTGGATGAACTTTCATAAAATTATTATCTTATTAAAAGTAATTTATTATATTACACAACTGTACTGTACTTAAACTCCCCAAATTAAAAATACTCGACTCTTTTGTGATTTATAAATAGCATACATCTCCCATGAAAGTTCATTCCTCAAACTTAATTACTGTCACTGTATTCTACTTAGAAATATCTAGTAGACTTATATCAATACTTGTCACTAAGGTCTACAAGGAAGAACTCTCAGTCTTTACATTATCATGGCACAAATACCTGCAAATCAGTCACCTGCAGCCTCCACAACATACTCTCAGGATAATTAACAGCTAAAGAGTTTAGACCAACAAAATCTACGTCATTGGTAAGAGAACTTCCATTCATCCTCAGGTCATTCAGCACCATCAAATATTTTTGGTTCAACGAGAGATCTATTTTAATTTTCAGCAAATATATTTTATCTCTCAGGTAGACAGTACATCAGCTGCACAATACTGTATTTTATAAGTTATGAAAAATTAACAACCAGCTTAATACCTCTCACTCACCACGGCCAGAAAGTCATTCATATAATCAAGAGCCTGGCTCATTCTCTCACAAGACAACACACAGGTCATCACACCAACATAAATACAAGCAGGCTATAGATATTATCCACATTTCCAAAAGGCTATTCTATACTATTCTCCTTGTACAATATTCTTACAAGAGTCCTTAGGATTTACAACTTTACACATCATACATTTGGAAATACTCTCTCTCCAGTACCGTATATAAGGAATTACAAGGTAGCATGTGGACTGTCAACCCGACACAGTGGGTTTCATATAATCAGTATCTGCTGTCTAGGAGCTGGGATTCACTTGTCTGGACTACAGGTAAAACCCACAACCCTAAAACAGATCAAAATATTGCCCATCGAATGTGTGTGAACATGACAGGTTCACTTAAGATGGCAATAATTATGCTAAAATACATTACAATGTACAGTCTTGTATTAAATTCAAATTTTCACAAATTCTATACCTGTACCAAAAATACAATAAACTCCTCCACAGGCTAGAATCATAACCGAGTACAAATGTTTACAGCTTACTTTTAAACTTGGGCATACGCATCTACAAGTTTCCGAAGTCTTTCAATTTCAACTTCCATGCATGCCCGCTTCTTGCGCTCCTCATCTAGTTCATTCATAAGTAATTGCATTCGTCGAGCTTGTTCCTTTCGTTGCTCTTCAAGGCGGTCTTCCAAAGTTTTTACCTGTAAAGGAAATGAAATCGCAAATTAATTTGTTATAACAATCATTCAAACCTCAGATTAATAACTAATAAACATATGATAGACAAAGAAAATATACTTCAGGAGATGTAGAGAACTTTCAAGAAATGTAGCCAATAAATTAAATAAGCTCCACAAGAAACATCTTAACCACCTAACTCCCACTCACTCACTCTCTCTCTCCACTCTATTACTGTACCTATAATGTACAGTCACCCACAAAAGTTCTGTCGTTCCTCCCAAACCATGAACAATGAAATTCACTTGACATATATTCACTTATTGATGTGTGTTTTAGATGTCATTTTTATGTACAGTATTTTATAAAGAGAATTAAGCTTTGGGGTCATTTAAACCTCTTGCAGTACGACCAATTTATTTTATGGCCTAAATTTGTCAAAACACAGTACCACAGGTACAAATATTTTTGCACATGCTGATTAAGGATCTGAGTTCAAAAATGGAAATAAAATCAGTGTGTTAATTAATGATCCATGAGATAAATACACCTAATAGTTTCACCAATTAATTGATTCTTATATATATATTATTTTGTCATTTCAAAAATTTTCACTCTTGCAAGCTTTTACCATATGGTGTAGGTTGGCTGGATTCATAAGCAAACAAAGGATCTTCCATCAATAATTTCATTTGTTTTTCAAGTTGAATGTAAAACAAAAACTGTAAAATATACTTACCTTGGGAAGTAAGTCCTTATACAGAGCATCAATTTTTTCTTCAAGTCGTCCAGTAGCAGAGCCATCTGTAACTGTTTTTTTATTATCTTTGGTATCTGGGCTGGAGTGGTAAGGTTTCTTGTTGTCTACAGATGATACCGATGTCCGTACATCAGTCGGAGTCACTGATTTCTTGCTCTCCGTGGCCATAGTCACTGGGGGCATAACTGGCAGTGGTTTCGTCTTGGATTTGGGCAGCTGAGAAGCAACATTCTTGTGCTCATAATCTGGTGTTGGCAGATGGGGAGTGTCAGAAGACTTAGTCTTGCTGGCAGTGGCAGGATTATCAGGCAATATCAAGGTGGCTTTAGGGATTTTGGCAGCTGGTTTTTCCTCTGCCTTTTGTGGCAACATTGTGGGCTTGGAAGACACTGCAGGTGCTGGAGCTGGGGTGGCTTCGTTGTCTATAAAAATGAGCAGTACAGTATTTTAACTTCTGCTTCTCTAATAAATAACAAAGTGATAAAAGATTAGATTCAAATTGGTAATAACAGAGTTTCAATGTATTTTTTTTAAATAATCAAAGCTCCTGGAGGTGGTAAAGTTGTTTATGAAGCTGTGAGATATATAAACAAAGAACCTGATGCTGACACTACAGCAAACTCCTGATATATAAAACGTGAGTACCACAGGTTGCTCTGTTATTGCAAAAAAAAAAAAAATATTCTTGAACTTTCTATCAAGTGATAAGCCATATATTTATGAAAAGCATTTTTTAAATAATTCATCAAGTTTTATAAACTTTTTGCACATTCAGCTCAACTCCTGAGCCAGGGGACCATCCTGCCTCACCCTCACACACCAAGCTATGTTTGCATATATCTCTGTAATACTGTACAATACTTTAATTATGATGAACACCTTTATAAATTGTGGCTTGACGATGGAACACAGTAATGATAAACAATTATAATTTTCTGTTTAATAAGACACTGTTGTGGAAGGGGGTAAAAAAGAAAATTTATATTGCAACATTAAGAATGAATGGATGATGGTGTATGTTTCTTCTTGATCCCAGACACCTATATACAGTACAGTACATAGTTTGAAAATGGATGTACAGGCAGTCACCGACTTAAGACGGGGTTAGGGACCCAAATCCAGGTCGTAGATCAAATTGGCCATAAGTCGAAAATGCGAAAATAATACATAAAAAATCTAAAATGGGTGTCTCTTTTTCTTCTCAGCACCACAAAACTCTCACTTTGAAGCTTGCCAGCCATTTTAAAGGGAATTACAAACGAAAATTTTGTCAGTACACAGCGCAATCACGTACGTCGGGACTCGAAAATACATAATTTAAAAAAATTTTGGTACGTCTGGGGCGGTTGTATGTCTGGGTGGTCGTAAGCCATCTATAAAATGGCTGCTCCCCTAATTAAGACCAAACACATCACAGCTCATGAACTGGGTACAGTACAGTATAGTGAACCCTCACTTTACGAGGTTAATTCAACCCACGGCAGCCCGCGTAAAGTGAACAACATAACATATGGGATTAATAGAGACCGGGCCGACCCTCAAACTCCACTTTTTCAGACACAATACCTATGTTGTAGTAAAAATAACTTCTTAATTTTATGATGGTATGCACACACAATTAATAATTAAGAGAAATATCAATAATATTAGGTTTTTTAACACTTACATTAGTAGAAAAGATGGCTGGGCACACGGGGATGGGGGATTGGTTCCGAGGCAGAGGGCAGATTATTGGCCCTCACCTGTATCACTTGTATCAATTGTATCACTATCCACCACAGAGGCTTGCAGGGCCTCTTTGTCAAACCCCTCAAAGTCCATATCCTCACTATAATTATCACTATCACTGACTTGGGCCGGCTATGGTGGGTGGTGGGTGAAGAACTCGGTAATGTTTTGATGACTGGGCGACCTTGTGCGCACCCTGCTCGCGCTGCTCTCCGCGTAAAGGGGTACACGCACCGCGGAATGTGAGCATTCTGGTTTCGGCAGGGTACCGCGTAAACGCGGAATGTGGGACCGAGTAAAGCGAGGGTTGACTGTACAAAGAAATCAATTGTAAAGTCTGGTTGCAATGTGCTTAATAGGACACCAGGTAATGTGCAGAGACCACTGACCTCCAGACAGACCAACAACACCATGACTATATCACTATGGCCATTTTTGAGTGAGGGAAAATAATTCACAAAATTCACTTACCAGGAAGAAGTATACCAGACAGCCTCTTCTTCTGCTTTTGATTATATCTTAGTTCTTGGAGCCACGGCACTGAATTTGTTGAGTCGGGTCTTGGCAGTGGCTCAGGACGGGATCGCAACTCAGGTGAGGCTTTTGAACCAGTGGGTGAGAGCACCGGAGCAATGGGGCTCCGTGACAGTTCAGTCGCACCAAGGTGACCATTGGCTTGTGGAACGGTGTCCTACAGATAGCAGGAGCAAAAATGAATTTCTGTATTATTTTACAAAAGTTTAAACCACATACAAAAAAATTATAAGCACAAATTGACTGTTTTTATATAAAACTATTATAAGCAAGAAATAATACAGAAAAATGTCGAGCCAGAGCACAGGCAAGAATATCTACACATACACAAAATAAATAAAAAACTATGTAAAGTGTCACATACAAAAATATTTCAGCGGAAGTGAAAACTATAAACTGCAAAGCTACAGGTGAAAAATGCAAAACCTAATTATGCACATTATATGTATACAGTAGCCTGGTTAAACAAGCAAATCTATATACTAATGAAAAAATTGGAAATGTAGACAGAATCCTCAAGAAAATCTACAACAAAGTTTACAGTGAAAATGCAGAAAACCAAAGTCCAAACCAAGCAAAAAAGAAAGCTTACAGTACAAGGGGCAGCAACATGTCACAGTAAAGACCATGCAAGTCACAAACATGAGACACACTTCAGTAGTGAAAACAACACACCTTCTCTCACTTGGCTCAAAATAAACTTTGAAATATTGATGAACAGCCACAGACTCTTAATACAGGCAGACTAAGACTGTCAGTCCACATACAGTATACAGTTCCAGAGAAAAAAATATGAACTCTGTCGTTACTGGATAATCTCTCATCTCTGTCCATTATCAGTATCCTCCCTTCTCACTAATCCACTTTGTATCACTTCCTGATAAACATACAATGCAGTTTCCTAGTACTGTGCTGTATTGAATCTATCATACAGTATTTATATTCGGTTATTTAAAGGGATAATAACTTTTCTGTGTTGATCTCTGATAATTTCTGCACTTAGGGAACCAAAAATTAGCATGTGAAATGCACTGGTAATAAAATATCAAAGAGAATATGATTTTTTTTTTTAAATTTCACCAATACGCTCCACCGCGCTGCGTGACGCCATGAGGCGAGGAGGTGTTTATGTCCTGATATTTGTCTACCATGTTTGTGTTTCCTTCATATTTTTATTATCAGTGCATTTCAGATACTATATTAATTTTTGCTTCCCCAAGTGCCAAAATTATCAGAGATCAACACACAAAAGTTATTATCCCTTTAAATATCAGAATACAGTACAAATACTGTAAGATAAATTAAATACTAAAGAACTGAAGTGACTCTGTGTGTCTGTTTGCCAGCCAATCAGCTGCCTTGCTAAAAACTGATCCTAGGCCTCAGTTGCAGAGTTTGAGTGAACAGACTAAAGCACACTAACCTACCTAGCACATTTACCACCATATTTACTATGCAGTCCCCTATCCACTACTCCAACAAATACAACACTGTACCTCTATCCTATCCACTTTGTGCCTACATCCTACCCAGGGCAACACATACCATCAGTGATAACTTATGATAGCATTTTTAACTTGACCTAGAGACCACCTCCTATTATCTTGGCTGCTAGTTCCACTAATATCACTGATAAGATATACCCTGTAGAGTGAACTATACAAGATAACACAAAATTTGTATTCATTTGACAGTTTACTTATCTGATTGTGTGCTGAAAGACATCATTCAAAACTAAAGCAATTATTCTCAATATACTATACAGTATCTACAAAGAGTAAGGATTATGGTAATCTTATACTATACAGTATACAGAAGATTACAGAATCTGTGGTATCTACAGTACAGATAACTAAAATGCCTTGATGATGATAATTTGTAACAAATGATGTATCCTGGAGTCTGATGTAGAATACTGTACATACAGTACACACAGTACAGGTATTTCCAAATTTTAACATTGATTTTTCTGTCCTGCATGAGGGAACTATGCTATCTTCTTTTGTCATGCCAACAAAACATTTCCTGTTACAACAGTCACTCTGGTTCTTGCTACCTAAATGCTATCAAATCAAAAATACACCAGATGTTACATGGTTACTCTGTAGGCTGCTGGTACTACTGACTTGAATTAATTCCAGTATAAGAGAAACAAGAGAGAATTTAATACGTCAATACAAAACATTAAGACCAAAATTTTTTCACCTTGAAACTTCGCAAGAAAATCAATATACATTACTGTAGTTCATGAGGGATGACCCAGACTCTAATATAAAATTTTGCTGTTTACTCAAAAGACTCACCTGAGTAACCACCAGACATTGGCATCAGGGACACGTACATGACCAATTTTGACAACAACTGGGTGAATTTCTAATATCAAATGCTTCAGATGTGGCTAATGCTAATATCATACAGTCACCTACAAGAGGATTATGTAAGTCAAGTTCTACATTTAATAAAAGGATATGTTTGTCTGAGGCTGTTCCAGCCACAGCTCCTAAACAAAAGCAGTTAGGGACCTGAAACTTTACGCACATATTACATGAGTCCCAAGATTGTACACATTGGTATTGTATTGAAAACAGACCCCTGGGTGGTCTGGGAAAGAACAAAAAATCTTCCATGACAGAGATATGGCCATGGCGGTTGTGGGAGGTGTTTACCCATGTTCAAACTATAACAGTCATGGTTAGGTTAGGCTGAGGTGGTTGCCTGTGTCAGGGAGGGCAAATTGTAACAGTCAAGGTTATACAGTTTAAAACTAACCTGAGTAGACAGGTATTTTACTTGTACAGTATTAAAGTGGACGAGAGAAGAGAAGAGTACAGTACTACAGTATGTATTGTACGCAATACAGGCTGTAAGTCTCACCGTTAACTTTGGGACACAGACTTCATATTATGCACTTTATCTAGTGAAGACACGCATTTGTGTGAGGTTTCACCACAAAATTTGTATCAGTGGAAGAGTTACGCTCAATGTATTGAAATATTTATAGACACCAAAATGGAGAAGTTGACCCATAATTTTTTTTTATCAAAAGGGGCAAACATAAACTGTGACAAACATACTTCACTTGTCCCTAAAAATTGTTGTTTAATTCTCTTCATGTTGCAAAATGTCCAGGTAAATGGTACTATACTGAATATTGTTAACAAGAGTTACACCAACAGTTGTACACTTCACGAAGTCGAGTAAAGATTGGGAGAGTTAAACCCGGAGTGTTTGTTTCTACACTGCCACACAACAAACTAAATGGTTGTGACTACTGCTGTATTGTAACACTGCTCTTTATCTTATCACAAACATCAGGTAGATAATGCACCAATTATTATGCAGCACCTTATCTATTATGTCATAAACCAATCAAATGATAAGAAATTCTTGCTTTTACTGTAGTTTCCTATCAATCAAAACACAAGAAATCCCATTTTCTAGTGACTGGAAAAGATTTTGGATTGTCAAGCTATTTGTTTGTGATTTTATAACTTTATTAGTTCTATTCATTTCAAAACTCATTCTTGCTATGGTGCAGTGTAGCCAGAATCAAGAACAACACAAACATTCCCTTTATATGGCATCAAACATTCTATATTTGCATTGTAATGGTTCATTATAAAATTTATATTTAATGAATACAGTAGCACATCAGCTTATGTAAGCAGTCAAAAACTCCTCATCCTCGATTAAATAAATGCAGTATTTAATTTTCTATTTCTGATATACTGTAAACATGTATTTCTTAATTGATTGTGGTATTAATATCTTCTTAGTTTTTTATCCTTTCTTTTGATAATTTGTCACAAGGAAAGGTCTCAAATAGTGACACACAGTCTTCAATACAAGACAAATGATCCTAACTTTTTGTTCATGGTTGCTGTCTCTACCTGTTCTGTGGTCTAGGGGAGAGTCGATCACAAAGAACTAGTTATTAGCTTACAGGAATACTTTGAAATAACTTGATTAAATTTTCTGGGTTATCAAAGCGCATTCAGTATCTGTACATCACTTCCAGAGGTTTCTGTATTCATAATAATATAACTGTGTTGTTGGGGAATTAATAAAATAAAGAGAAATAAAACTTATTTACTGTTCTAAATCACCAGCTCAACAAGCCTACTTGTATTTGGACCTGTATCTGTACTGTATAGTCTCTGAAGTACAGTACTATACTACTAAATTGATTTCAAATGTTTCTGGATCTCATCCCCAGAGACCAAAACACTTTGGGTCATAATTCATTGAAATACGGAGACAAAAACTGTACTGATATATGAGCACTTCCTAGTCCTTGTTGCATTACCATCATGTAACAAGTTTCACACAAATCTTTTTCTATATGATTTATGAAGCTGACAATATGTTTAGTCAAACGTAAGAGGGATGGAAAGAGCCACTCACTCACTCTCTCTCATGTACACACACATGGATGGATGGGTTATATTCACATATCCCCCACCAGAGATGACAAGACAGTGAAATGAAATTATAACCTAACTCTGATAACTTGTACAGTATCTATACACCAATAGAAAAAGAACTTGAGCAAATTTTCATGCAACACAGGAAGGTCGTCCTGAAAGGATGAGGACTACAGTCAAAGGAGCACAAGTTGGAAGAGTAATAGTACATACTGCCCAAACAAACATCACTGATAAAATGCTGGAAGTGTTGTACCAGGTTTCAATCACTACACAGTCATTAAAGAAATGTTTAATAACTTCACTACAGGGCTGTAGCTGTAGTAGTGGCAGGTTTAGCCCATTTACTTACCTAATACATTAATAATTATGCAAGCCAAATAAATAAAATACAATGAAATACTTTGTTTTGGTGCCTACAGGGGACACTTACATGGTCGACCTCGTCTTCAGGTGTGGGAGGGAGTGGGGAGGAGTCAGAGTCAGCGGTGATTTGGTTTTTCATCTGTGCCACAGAGAGAAAGGAAGAAACTGGTGATATACAAAGGTTAGACCCAGAGCCATACACCAGCCAGCTGACAGAGTACAAGTGAGGAAACACTAATGATAACATTATACACACCTATGGGGAGTGGCAGTCCATTTTAAACATACAAATGTTCTCTCCAGTGACTATTTTTAAATTGTAATTAAAAAATTATATTCTATTGTGATTTTATCAAGATATATATATATATATATATATATATATATATATATATATATATATATATATATATATATATATATATATATATATATATATATATATATATATATATATATATATATATATATATATATATATATATATATATATACATACTGTAATGACATTTTCTCTAGTTTTTATGACTTTTTTCAAAACATTTCATTGTCTCTTTGTTTCATTCCTTTATACATGGAAATTTTAAAACATGGAGACAACTCAATATATTAAACAAGAATTGGTCGGCACAATGAGAACCACATATAAAAAATGTACTGCCAGGGTAAATAACCGTGAGTGATTAAATCCTGATCATTCTCTTGGTTTTTCATAATGGACTTGACAATTAGTAAATAAAAGCAAACCACAACAGAGGTAACACATTAAGTTATACATCATTTTTTTTTACAAACTGGGTAAAGTTTTACATACAGAAGTTTGTTAGATACAGTACTGTACTAACAAATGCTAAACGGTAGAACTTGGTCGACAGTAAGGAATAGTCAGGACTTTGAACATAATTAAAAAGGTGTGCACTGGGTTAGTTAATACTGTACTGCTGTTAATTACAATGTGTATGCTGCTGGTGGGTGACCTACTGTAGGCTAGTGGTAAGCAGAGGCGTGCAAAAAAAAAAAGAAGCTGCCAATGTGAATACTGCACTGTACAATATTAGCAGACCGTTTACTGTCAGTACAAGATATAATATCCAACAGAAGAGGAGATCAATAAATGAAGGGATAGTTGCCCTAATCCAGTCCGAGGCTCTTAAGCTTTGCCGTGTTACTGTTATAAACAAAACCGGATAATAACCTCAAATCTGTCTTAAATGTGCAAAATCTGTTCATCAAATTTTGAAACTACGGCTACCATACCTGGAAAATGGCCCACTTGCAGGTAAAAGGAACTAACTGCCTTTTCTATAAAATATTAATACTGTAGTAAAACAAAGAATATGCTTAACTTAATATAAAAAAAAATATTCTAATAACACCTAAAACAATCTTAACATTTTCTTCCAAATACTCCAATCTGACATGAGTAGCTGCAGGAGGCTGTGCATCATGGAGAGCTGCCATTGGGTAATACTGTAACAGCTAACCCACACAAGTGAGGAAAATGGCCACAAGACAGTGATAATAATGAAGGAAGTGAACTAAGAAATATTAAAGTTAAATAAAACTGGTGACATAAAATATAAACCTGACTGTAAAGGGCAGTGACTCATGGTGTAACCAGAGTCATGTTTAGGATTAATAAAAGTGGTGATGATCTTCGTGTAATATATCAAAGTGATAAAAAGAAGAATTATATTCGATGGGTAAAGAATTCTTCCACTTAAAGTGCATCTTCAGTACACTTGCTGCCTCTCTTCAGTGTAGTACAGCAGAGCCAGAACAAACACAACTCCATGTCATTTAAATACTTACATATTTTCGAGTAGATGCCCCAGTAGCCTATTACTGTACCAAACAACCTTCAACATGAGTTAATATCAGGTACACTGATGTTTAACAGACATTTATAAAATATATTTATGTGTGCAAATCAACAAACTGAATACTATATCTTGTTTATAATAATCTTATGTTAAACTTAAGATACAGGTACACACACACACACACAAAAAAGAAGACATGCTTACGTTTTCCTTGAACATGCCTGATGGAGGTCGTCTCCGGGATGGGCCTTTGGGACGGAGTTGAGTTACATGCTTCAGCTTCTCTCCATCTGTGTCCAGAGTTAAACTGCCTTCCTCTGTTGTGTAAAAAAATGTTAGACTTACAATAAAATCCACCACATCATATCTTTAGTATAAATTTATGTACCTAAGTGGAGAGTAAAACCTTATTCACAATTTCAGTCAATGAGGAGTTGATGACAATTCAGAGACCTGACTGTGTGATGTGCAAAGGGATGAAACAGTGGAATAGATATTGACTGACAGTACTGTACAAGTGACAATAACTATCAGGAAACTTGAGAGTGAAAGAGAAGGAGAATCACAAAATTCACCAGAGGGCAGGGCAAGTGATGGTATTAGCAAAAACCACACCACAAAATCGAAGCATATGACCGTAGACTGAAATGGGACAGTTAGCAAGTCACTTCTTGACACTCTTGAGACAATAAACATGTGTTAAAAATGCTTTGATAGGGTTAATCACTATATAACCAGTATTATCACCTTTAACGAGGAATCTCTTTGTGATTTTTGACATCTCTGCAGTGTCCTTGGGAGTAGGACTACCTTCATGAGCATCTGAGTTTGACTGGATGGTTGGCTTCTTCTCTGGTGGCGGAGGAGCTTGGATCTTCTTCTCTGGCAGTGGGGGCGGAGGCTCCTTGTCTACAAGTAAATATATTTTACATATAAAGATTATTAATATACTACACAGACCTCACAATACATAATAAACATAACCTTTGTATTTTCTAATTGTAAATATAAAATATGAGAAAAGTCATGCTATATATGGTTGTATCTGGGTGGCTCACACTGCTTGTATCTTATGTGTCACTTCAATTACAGATTATCCCCATACACCCACTCCCCCCACCCCATACATGCAGCCAAATTATTGTGGGACACATCTTTATCACCCTTCTGATAGTTTCTTTTAGGTTTCTGACTGACAGACTCTGCCTCAACACATACAGGAATCTAGATTTTGTAACCCCTTGTATACGGGTCCCCTCTGAGCTGAATAAAACCATCCAGCTTAGTCCTATGAAACCATCACTGGACAATGTTTTTTCCGAGAGAGAGAGAGAGAGAGAGAGAGAGAGAGAGAGTGAGAGAGTGAGTGAGTGAGTGAGTGAGTGAGTGAGTGAGTGGTGGTGGTGGTGAGTGAGAGTGGAGTGAGTGAGTGAGTGAGTGAGTGGTGAGGAGTGAGTGAGTGAGTGAGTGAGTGAGTGAGTGAGTGAGTGAGTGAGTGTGAGTGAGTGGTGGAGAGTGGTGGTGAGTGGAGGAGGAGTGAGTGAGTGAGTGAGGAGTGAGGAGAGTGAGAGAGTGAGTGGTGGTGAGTGAGAGAGTGAGAGAGAGAGTGAGTGAGTGAGTGAGTGAGTGAGTGAGTGAGTGAGTGTGTGTGTGTGTGTGTGTGTGTGTGTGTGTGTGTGTGTGTGTGTGTGTGTGTGTGTGTGTGTGTGTTGTGTGTGTGTTGTGTGTGTGTGTACAGCTGCCACTGAAGTTAAAGTATCTGATAAGAGTTACTGCAAATGCTGATAAAGAGTAGTATGACAAGTAGTGAGCAGCATGACAATAACAAAAACACATACACAAATAAACAGACACACATGCACACACAAAATATGAAATAAATCAAAATAAAACAAATTAAAAACCCAGAGAGAAGTACAGTACATTGTAAAGACACTTCTTAACTTACCAATGATTCATCAGTGCACTTCACTAAGGAACGAAGAACTATGAACCCACGAAAATGGAATATGGTGCATAATAATAATTTACATTGATAAAACCTTTCACATTTCATTTCCAAAACCTTATGAGATGTTATGAAGTAGAATCTGTTGCATAAAGTATCTAATGATCAGTTCCACCAGAAAATAACCACCACAAATTATTTATTACACAAAACCTTTAATATTTATCACAGTAAATTTCAGATTCTTCAAAATGCTTTACTGTACACTTAAAATTCACAGGTAAACTCGGAAGTAACTCTCGGCACCAGGTTAGGGAAGGCACGACTCGTGTGACACACCCACGAGTGAGGCGGTAGGTAGGAGGGATGAGCAGCAAGTGTGGCTACTTGGTCTTCACTCACCCCACACCTGTGACACAGTTATTAGCTGACTGAGCTAAACTTCACCTCACTGTACAGGACAAGTCAATATCCCCATTTTCTCATCCTCCTATCCATCTGTTTTATTTTTATTTTATCTTTATTCCTCTATTCCACTTCTACTTTTGTTTGAAATGGATTAACAAAACTGATAAAAAAAGCAGTAGGAAGAGGAGGGGGGAATTAGTGATGAAAGACCAGTGTATAAAATGATAGGAAAGTACTGGAGTGAAACAAAATGCAAAAATACTCCACATACATTTCCTTAAATCCTTATCTTGCTCACCTCATACATATCCTCAGTGACCTTCTCTACCACCAACAATAACAACAGCAACACACACAATAGTACACAGAGATATGACAACTGACACACTGTTCCTGTGGCCCATCTTCCTGCTGTGTTCCAAGGTGGCCATTGAGATGCATCCAAACTCTTCTCTTCCCATTACACCACTTGTTAAGGTGTGGGGAAAAATCATTTAAGTGATGTGTAAGCTTGACTAGGATTAACATCACGGGCAGGGAACCACGACGGTGAACTCGAGTAAAGCAAAATAATGATGTCCTACCATGTGTTAAGTTAGGTTCTGGTCTATAAAATATATTGAAGTCACTGAATAACTTTGTAAGATGGCAGTATACTATTGACATTAGGTTTTGAAGTGTGTGTTTTTTCTGATGGCTTAAGTACCACTAACATATAGGAGCCCCCAAAGCCCTACCTAAACTGTACACTTGTGGACCTTAGGGATTGTGAAAAGTGCCTTAAGTTTCTGTAATAAAATCATTTCTCTACAAGCTAACTGGAGTTGTCTCTCTTTATTCTTACTTAAACAGTCCATCAGCAAATTAAGAAATGCCTTTACTGTATCTATTAATAAATGCCAATGTAATGTAGTTTTTCTCTATGACCACAGACTGAAGAACCTGATGGTCCAACTTAAAACAAATTCTATAAAGAAGTCTTCGAAAGTAAAATCTCTTCTTTCACTTCACACACTACCTGAAGCACACGTGTAGTACAGTAATCTTCCTTAGGTAAGTAAATCGTTAAGATGCTCACCAATAAACAACAATAAATGACTGGCAGAGGAGAGAGCTCCTTCACGGCCAACACTAGTGCTGCCACTACCATCAACTCCCCTTGACTGTTTACTGATAACATATCTAATCGATAGTGAGGTGGACAACTAGTGCGCCTTTCGACAGACCCCAATCATCTTCATAATATAAGGATGACATTTTTAACCTACAGTTATGTATCATAGGTCATTTTCCTATACTGTCATGATGGTGGAAATAAGAAGTTTAAGTATACAGCAGTGAGGAGGGCACAGACACCGAGGGCACAGACACCAGGGCATCACACAATGGAACTCACTCATCCACACATAATGACCATAAAAGCTTTCATAAGCGAGTCACCAGTTGATGGAGTAACAAAGCACCCTTGGTCTATACATACTACAACAGATGACAAAACCCAACTCCTTATCTGTACCCCAAAACCTCCCCAAATAATTAGGGAGGGTCAATGGAGACACTGAAGTAGCCAGAACACGACCAACCAGAGGTCATAGAAAAATGTATAGCCACTGTGAAATTCCTCGTCTGTGGTGATAAAAATTTTTGCCTTCCACAATAATGGAGGCCACAGCCACGAGAACTATAAAAGGAGGAAACATGGAGGGACGGGACAGTACAGTACAGTATATTGTACATAACAAGTATACAGCAGGTAGCTGACCAACAAGTTTGGCGACACTATACAATCAAGAACAGTTCCTTTTAACACTCCTGTTCTAAACAGTACAGTGCCCTCTATAGGTAGACAAGCAATTTTGAGACTTGCTCCAGTAATTTGAAGTCATAGGCATGTAATGAAACTATCTGAACAGCATCCCAGGGTTAATAAGAAGCATCTATCTGTCTCGTGGATATTCTATAAAATGTGAAAAAGGTCTGCTACACTGTTTATTTCTTAGCTACTATCAGGGAAAAATACACTAACCTTCAACTGCAGCTATTTTTTGTGTGTGTCCCCCCCCCCCAATCTCTCTCCTGCTTATGTACACTGTGGCCAGAAACAAGAACAAAATAAATCTCTCTCTCTCACTGTTGTCATTCATTCATTTGCCATAATTACATCTCATTCTGTAGTAAGAGATGTAGTGAATTACCTGACTTGTTAAGTGTTCCCGTGGGAGTGCTGTCTGCCGAGCTAGATGGTGACCCCTTCTTCGCCAAAACACCAGCAGGTTTCTCTGGACGAGGAGGCTTAACCTAAGACAAAAATATATATAATGAATATTTTTGAAATACAGTCTGTTAATAAATTTGGTATATTTGAATATTTTGCATTAAGTGAATGTATTTGGCATACTGTATTTGAGTACATGTACTGTAATATAATATTGTTTTTTCTTTCTGAATTATACTGAAGGAGAGAATCACAGAACCACACACAGAGAGGGCAGAACACACCAAGAGCTAGGCAGAACAATATGAGGGAGGGATGAACACGGTCTCCTCTACATTTTTACAGGTCTCCTACAGAACAATGTTTAAGTAATAAAAAGAGCACGACCAGATGGCAAAATTTGTTGATTCGCAGAGATTGTTAATAAATGCCAGTTTTGGTTTACCATCAGGTACATTTTGACTCCATTTTGTGAAGTGGACTTGGTTATTGTGCTCCCTCCTCCTCACACACTATACAGTACAAAGTGAACCATTAGCCTCCATATGAATCCACAACACATTAACTTAACACACTGTACAGACTGTGTTTAGCCCCCACAGGTTCCTTCATACTAATAAGGGAAGCAAACGCAAGACTAGAAATGATAACATTCTTGAGTATTGCTGTACACCTACCAGCAGCACAACTCCTTATAGTTAATACTGTACTGTATATACACTGTACCCTCGTTAATTAGGATCATTATAATTTGGATTTCGGCTTACTTCATATTTTATATGAAGTAAACGCTTTGAACCCGGAATGAATCTGTATGTATATTATGTATGCTGTATGTATATTATGTATGTGCTCCATTTATATACACTATTTATTCAGCCTAGCTAGCAGCGTGTGGCAATGTATTTACCATGTCCCACACGCTTAATTAATGTGCCTGGCGACATATGGAAGCTGCTAATGTATCACTTACCACATGTCGCCCGAAAGGCTAGTTGACCCCCAGACAGAGTAAGGAGCGCCACCTCCCTTGTGTATCTGTTTATCCAGGAAATAGAATCTACGAAAACTCTACAGGTGTTTGTGTTCGCTCCTGTAGATAGAACTCGATACCCAGAATACATGCATGGCGCAGTGAGTCATTTTACTGGATCATTATACAAGTGAAGTGTAAAGTTTGTGGCAAGACCGACTTATGGACCCCTGCTCTGTGTCAACCACCGCTAATGGCCGTCTCTTCAAAGAATTTATAGCAACTTTGAGCAGTGTCAGTGACAGCAAGTTCCTGTGAAGTGTATAGTGCATTGTGTGTTTAGTGCCATAACTGTGTGACCTTGTTCTAAAGGATTCCCAAGGCGTAAGGCATGTTCAGGGCATGTGTGAGGAGTAGAGTTCAGCGCTGCCTCCTCCCGCCATGCCTGGAGGGTAACTGACGACAGACGTGAGTCGCCGCCTCCACCCCCTCGCAGCGAGACTGCCCGAGACGCGCACACACACGTACGAACACACTGACTGCGGCCATTCCTTTATATATATTTTATATATATAATCTACTTATCTGTGCATTTAATTAATTTTTTTGTCTCAGATTTTGTTGATACGACGGGCTGACCGGTCAACACTGATTTAAGACACAGTACACAGATTAAGTTATTATGTCTCATGCCTTACGCAGTCGTGGAGCCAACGCCTGGATGAGTCAGTCGGATGACAGCTCTGCAGAGATGGATGACCAGGCTGAACAGGACGCTCCAGTTCCTCCCACCACATCGCGCAGCCCTTCACCTCGATCTTCTGCATTGTCTTCAGAGATAATTGCTTTAATGAAGTTTATGAGGGATGAAAGGCGCGAGGACGAAGCTAGAAGACATGTGGAGGATGAAGAACGAAGGCAAGCTGAGGCAGAGAGAGACCACCAACGGAGATTGGAAGACAGTGCACGGTTTGAAGCTTTGATATCTCGTCTCACTGTTAACCAAGCCCCTGGCTCTAACACTGCCTCGGTATCGACTGGTTCAGATACCTCATCACTGCTTTCTTCACGCCCCCCAGCCCCACCTAAGGCGGCTGCTCAAACACCGCCAATCTTGAAGCCTGATGTGAAATTCCCGACTTTTCGTGAATGGCGGAGTCGGTGGACTGATTATGCTACAATGGTGGATCTCCAGAGCCTGTCACAGCCTAAACAACTTATTCAGCTGCGTATGTGCCTGTCCTTGGAAACTCAGCGTGTCTTGGAACATACGTTGCAGGTACCTCCGACCTCTTCGTTATCGGTAGAGGAGGTACTGGATATTCTACAACGGCACATCAAAGGGCAGCGGAACGAAGCTCTACGCAGGAGGGAATTGTTTAGCTGTAGACAGATGGAGGGCGAGACTTTTGATGTCTTTTATGTACGACTCAAGAGACCCTCGGAAGAGGTAGATATATGCCCAGGTAACCACCAGCAGTGCGAGGAGACCCAGTTGAAGCAGGTGATCCTGATGGGTGTTAAGGACGAGGAGCTTGTCCAACGCCTCACCTCCCTCGACTCTTCCTCTTCTCTTAAGGATGTGTTGACGATAAGTCGCTCCTATGAGGCTGCCAGGTGTGCCACCTCTGCCATCCGAGCTCCCCCTACAGCTGTACACGCTGTGTCCCGGTACAAGAAGGACAAGAAGTCTACTTCAACGCCTTCGCCCACCACGCCCAAGCCCGGTTCCTTTTGTAACAACTGTGGTAAGCAGCACGGAACACAGGTGTGTCCAGCTGCTGAGTCTACCTGCAACAGTTGTGACCGTAAGGGCCAATGGTCGCTCACAGTGCGGTGCCCAGCTAAGCACGTCCAGTGCAATGTGTGCGGTCGTCTGGGCCACTATGACAAGTGTTGCCCTACCAACAAACCCAAGGGACAGCGTCGGCGGAAGCTTCAGCGCCCTTCCACCAGTGAGGGCCGCCTACAGTCTTCCAATCAGAAGCATGACCACCCTGGACAACGCTCGAGCCATATTAGGAAGGTGTGCTCCCCCTCGTGTCCCAGGACCAAAGTCCCCCAGTACATCAGTGTCATCGTGACCTACGGCAGTGTGTCATCCTGTCTTCAGATGTTGCCCAACACCGGCGCTGATGCTACAGTCATCGGTCCCCAGCATTTGCAATGCTTGGGGCTCTCTCCAAGTGATCTAGGACCGCCACCCAAGGATCTACGCTTCACGGCAGATGGTTCACAGATGGCCCCAGCCCTAGGTTCACTCCAAACACAGGTCACCTTTGGCAACAGGTCGTGTCAAGCCTGGATTGATGTGCATAACGGTGTCCCGACTCCTTTGCTGTCCTACAGACATTGTCATGAGTTGGCCATCATCTCCCAGGGCTTCCCCAAACCTATTCTTGAGGTAAAACACGCCAACAGGGTGCACGAAGGGAGCAGCAACTACCCTGCTGTCGCCCTACCCCTACCTCTTGCCAGTGACACCTCTCCTTCGGATGCTCGGAAGTACTTCCTGAAGGAATTCAGCGACGTTCTGGTGACCAAGTCCGCTCTGGAATCTGGAATCCAAGCCTCTCAAGAAGATGGTAGGCCCCCCGATGAGGATCCGCCTGAGGGACGACGCGAAGCCCTTCGCTATCTACACCCCTCGACTGGTCCCCCGGGCCTTCCGCGAGGCGGTCAAAAACGAGCTGGACTCCATGGTCGCCCAAGAAATGATTGCACCAGCAGGTGATGACCCGTCTCCACGGTGTCACCCTATGGTAGTAGTCGCAAAACCCAAAGGTGGTGTTCGGATCACCACTGACCTCTCCAAGCTCAACAGCCAGGTGTCTCGTCCTGCGCACCCTTCTCCCACGCCCTTTGCAGCTATACGCAGTGTGAACCCGAAGGCGCGCTTCTTCACGACGATGGACGCCCTGTGTGGATACTGGCAGATAGAGCTTGCCGAAGAAGACCGACCACTTACAACTTTCATCACCCCGCATGGACGTTACAGTTATTGCCGTGGCCCCATGGGATTCGCCGCTACAGGAGACGCTTTCTATCTTCGAGGTGATATGGCTCTACAAGGTCTGGCAAACTGCGTGAAAGTGGTCGACGACATACTCGTGTAAGACGAGGATTACATGGATCACCTCTGCCGTATCTACGAGGTACTCAACAGGTGCCGGAAGCACGGCATCACCCTAAATGCCGACAAGTTTGTTCTGGCCAGCTCTTCAGTGGACTTTTGTGGGTACACCCTCTCAGGGAATGGTACTGCAGCTGACCCGGAGAAGGTCCGCGCCATCACGGATTTTCCCAACCCTGCTAACCTCACCGACTTGAGGTCCTTCATCGGTCTCGTCAACCAGTTAGCAGAGTTTTCACCGGACATCTCCGCAGCTGCCCAACCACTTCGCCCCCTGATGAGCCCCAAGAGGACATTCCTGTGGACCCCCGACCACGACAAGGCCTTCCAGCAAGTGAAACAGGCCCTGTCTAGTCCACCTGTCCTAGCCACGTTTGACCCAGCCTTGCCGACGGTTCTGCAGACAGATGCCTCACGCTTGTACGGCGTGGGATACGCCCTATTGCAGGATCATGGTGGACAGTTCTGGCTCGTCCAGTGTGGCTCGCGTTTCCTCTCTGACACCGAGACGCGCTACGCCACTATTGAGTTGGAGCTGTTGGCTGTGGTTTGGGCGATGTCCAAGTGCAGGTTTTACCTCATAGGCCTGCAACACTTTCACCTAGTGACCGACCATTGCCCGCTTGTTCCGATCCTCAACCACTACACGCTGGATGCCGTTGAGAACCCTCGCCTCCAGCGTCTGAAAGAGAAGCTCTCGGCGTACGTCTTCACAGCAGTGTGGCATGCTGGTAAGGAGCTCTGCATCCCTGATGCCTTATCCCGCTCTCCTGTCAGCCGCCCTACTCCAGAAGACCATGTGCTCGACGCCGACCTCGCTCTTTCCGTCAGGACTGTGGTCACTCTACACGCCGTCCAATCCCTTCGTTCGGACCTGTCACCAGATGACGACAAGGCAATGGAGGACCTTCAAACAGCGGCCCAAGATGACCCTTCCTACGTCCGACTCGTCGAGTGTGTGAGGAATGGATTCCCTA